CAAATACAGGTATCCCTTAGCACCAAGATGTATTCCAGTGGTTTCCCCAGCATGCAGGCACCAAGAGATGTGCATCCAGATGAACCCAGTGATGTTAGGGAAGGCTCCAGGTACTCGGTACCTCTTAGGTCTGGATGCTTCAAACTGAGGTGACTTGAAAAATGAAGTTTTGCGTCTTCAGGAGCCTTGAAGTGGCTTCATTTTCTCCCACTGCCTCCGCCAGGCCACATGGCCATCTAACCATGATTTTCCTGGGCATCTCCATTTCTGGGCTTGGCTCATCCCTGGGGCAGAGAAATAACTGGCAGGAGACTCCCGTGGTTGGGTTCTCAGCTGGTTCAGTCTCACAGCACAGCCCTAGCAAAGAACTACTTTGGCAGAGACTTTTGAGACCTTCCTTGCTGCAACTTTGATCCTAAACAGAAGGATTGCTTCCTGTGACACTTTAGAAAGTCAGCATTAGTGTGAAAGCAGGGTGGAAGCTGCACCTGCAGGGATGAACCTGGATGAGAACTTTTGTGCTGGAGAGCATTGATCAATTCACTGCATATGCACAGGAATCAAATTAAATTCCTTGGGAAAAGTCTTGCAATGGTTTTGAAAGTCAAGACAGTGGGATCTCATAGATTCTTTCTAGACACCGAGAGAGCATAGAAGGGAGTAACATCTCAGTCTGGATTTATCAGAACAACAGAAACTCCCAACAAGAAAGGACTTTCCTCTTCAGCTCCGAACTAGGGAGTGGCACATTCATTAAATGGTACAGTTTTTCCTGTCACATGCTGGGGAGTGATAGAAGAGAGAGGTAAATCCCTGTTTGCTTGACTGTCTGTCCATTGCTGGGTGCCTTCCCTGCCCGCTCCCTGCCTCCTCCCAGGGCTCTGCTCCTGCCCTTCCCTGCAGCCATGGACAGGGAGGGCACATGGGCACACCAGTGTTCCTGAGGGCACAGACTGGCAGAGGGGATAGGGAGACTATCCAGGCCTGGAAACCAGCAGGAGAGCAGATCCACCCCAGGGGCAGGAGAGTTTATGGAGAGTGGGAGGGGAGGGAGCTGAGTTTGAAGTGTGCTGCTGAGAGCCCCAGTTGTGCAAGACTTGGGTGAGCTGTTGTGTCACAGAAACGTTCTCTTGGAATCCAGGAACAGGGCTATGAAGGCATTAATTAGGTCCTAATTACCCTGAGCAACATCACTTGGGGTCCCTTCCTATACCTCTGCCCAGGGCCAAGGGGCTCTGCTTAAACTTAGGCCTGAGCTTTCACCCACTTCCTGTGCTTTGCTGCAGTTGCACCGATTTTGAGGTTTTCCTGAAACTGTTTGGCCTTCTCAGGCTGACCTTGGACCTGACTTCTTTCCTGGCCTTTGATGATCACAGGACCATTGATGGGGACAGTTGGTGGACCCTGTCACTGTTCCCTCTCTGCTCACCCACTTCGGGCGCGGGGTTGAGTTTACCTGGTCAGTAAGGTTCCTGTCCTGCCTCTGCTGGGGCTGCCCCTTCCACCAGGGAACAGCTCCCCAACACCCTGCTCTCACAGGAACTCCTCTGCCTCACAGGTCTCCCAGCCCTTTGGTCCAAGGCTGTAGAACAGCGGGGAGGGGAGTCTGGCTTTCCTCCCTGGGAGAGGGTAATGGAGGGAATGGATCCCCTGCACTTTCCCTGATAGAGTTTCTGTATTTCAGTATCTTTCACTTGGTATCCAGGTGTGTGCTGAGCTCTTGGCTATGGACAGGTCACTCAGCTGCTGGGCTGGCTCTCCACTGGATCAGCCTCTCCACAGCCCAGACTTCCAGTGCTCCCTGCAGGAGTGTGACCTTTAAAGGGACAGTGAATTGTACAAGCTCAGGTGTCTGAAGGGACTGTGACACACTATGTCACACTGGATGGCTGCTTGAGGGATGGCAAATGTAAAAAAAAATGAGATCTTTGTCCCCTCAGAGAGGTGCTCTGCTGCCAGCTGCATCCTGGGGTGGTGTGGAGCTTGTGCTTGGATCTCAAACAATGCTGTGGTGTCTGTGTGGGACACTCCTGTCAACACAGTGTGCTGGGGGTCAGAAGGGCTGGGGCTGCCCCTTCCACCAGGGAACAGCTCCCCAACACCCTGCTCTCACAGGAACTCCTCTGCCTCACAGGTCTCCCAGCCCTTTGGTCCAAGGCTGTAGAACAGCGGGGAGGGGAGTTTGGCTTTCCTCCCTGGGAGAGGGTAATGGAGGGAATGGATCCCCTGCACTTTCCCTGATAGAGTTTCTGTATTTCAGTATCTTTCACTTGGTATCCAGGTGTGTGCTGAGCTCTTGGCTATGGACAGGTCACTCAGCTGCTGGGCTGGCTCTCCACTGGATCAGCCTCTCCACAGCCCAGACTTCCAGTGCTCCCTGCAGGAGTGTGACCTTTAAAGGGACAGTGAATTGTACAAGCTCAGGTGTCTGAAGGGACTGTGACACACTATGTCACACTGGATGGCTGCTTGAGGGATGGCAAATGTAAAAAAAAATGAGATCTTTGTCCCCTCAGAGAGGTGCTCTGCTGCCAGCTGCATCCTGGGGTGGTGTGGAGCTTGTGCTTGGATCTCAAACAATGCTGTGGTGTCTGTGTGGGACACTCCTGTCAACACAGTGTGCTGGGGGTCAGAAGGCTGTCTGGGATGTGACAATTGTGACAATGGGTACAACTGCCTCTGGTGTCCATGGCCGCTTCTTTGAGATTCCACATTGAGCATGAAGCTTGAGAAGAACACAGAGGAACTTTGTGTTTAGTCTGTCACAGTAAACGCTCAGAGTTCTCAATGTTCATGCACTTGTGGGTCATTTCTGTGTTTTGTCCTCATTTAATGGAGAAGTGAGGGGGGTTTGTGCCCTCAGTGCAACTTCTAAAAGACAATTTAATGGCTGCATTCAAACATAAAAGGGGAGAGGGCCAGGGCTGGCTGAGTCAACAGTGTTTGAGCATAAAACCCCATGAGGGAGTAACAGAATCTGTCTGCATCATAAATAACACTGAATGGCTTATTTTGGCAAAGAATTTTCATTCCTGACAAATGCCATTTTGAGACAACTAATAACCACCTGCTGATTTGGGATGAAATTAGAATTTGAATGCTCAGGTCAGCTCAGATGCAGTGTTTAGTGGGTTTCCAGTGGAGACTCTCACATGTCTGAAAGGAAATAATCTTTATGAGGCTGTCAGAGGCAAGGGAATACTCAGGCTTACAAATCCTTGCACTGTTTTATTGGGAATGCCCATGTCAGAGGATTGCTAAGTAAAGCACATTACATAAGGCTGCCCTTTGGGCTGCTAAGGTCTCATAACTGGAACATATTTTCAAGTCTATCAGAATGATTTCAGCATCTCCTGAGTTGTCAGTACTTCTCTGTTTTTTGAAGCAGATGTTTTTTCTCTTCTACTGCATTAAATGGAATCTTCTGTGTTTTGCTGACTGTAAAGGTGCATAAAGGTGTGTAAATGTGATCTTTTGGGATATGTCACTGGCACTTTCTGGCTTAAATCTTTTCCAGTACAAGCTCATCAATTTGTGACCCAGATCTCTCCTCCACAGGAAAGATGTTTAGCTATGGAGGGGCAAGGTAGGAAACCCTGAGCAGATTTCACCTGGCTTCTGTGGTATCAAGGGACTGAGAATCTGAACTCCAAAATTTTGTTAATCTAAAGTAAAAATTAGGGAATAATATTCCCATTTGGAAAGTACACTAAAGTACAGACAAAGCTTCTGTCCTCCTGGTTCATCTTCCTGCCTTGGCTGTTCCTTTGTACAATGAGCGCTTTTGAAGCACCTGAGGTGCAGTTACATCCAGGGCACAACAGGCCCATTGCCTGCTGGGGGGGGATTGCTTTCACTGGATGGAAGCAAACCTTTGGAAATGATGTTTGCATCATTGCCTATGAGACCAGGCAGGTCTCATAGGACAGGGGCTTGCCCACTATCCAGGCTGGAAGAGCTCCAGGTACAGCCTCTCCCACAGGCACATTGGCTTCCTTGAAGAGGACAAGACAGGGAAAGCTGAACTTTATCCTAATCCGCTTTTTAGAAGTACTGATGTGTTCACGTCTACCTGGAAGTATTGGCCTCTGAAATGACTGTGACTGGCATTCCCCCAGTGTGTGCCTGTCTCTGAGATAGGCAATGGGGAAACACCTGGAATATCTGCAACCAGCAGCCTTTGGGTGACCCTTGGGTGCCCACTGCCCTCTGAAAGCTGAGGAAACTGTGCCTGTCACCACTTCATTCCCTGCCTGGGGTCTTTGAGCCTCTGTCCTGTTTTTCTCAAGACTTATATCCATCACTCCAGGTGACTCTGGATAAATTCTCACAGCAGAGAATTATTACTACTACAAGTTTGCTGAGGTGTCTGATCTCCATTTCCACCCTGACCTTTTTATTCCTAATTTCCTGTTAAAGCTGTTTTTCTCCAAAGGTGCATGAAGGTCTGTAGGTAACAGCAGCTGCTCTTGGCTGTGTAACAGGAGTGCAGACTCAGACTGCTCAGTGTACACTACAAATTCACATTAACACTGTGACATAAATTCATATTAACACTGTGAACTGCTGCTCTGAAGGGGTCTGTCCATCTCTTATAAATCTGACTTTTCAAGGAGTTATTTTTTAAAAAGACTGTATGTGAAGGAGCCTCATCTTTAACCATGCTTGGCCACTCACTTTTATCTGAAATTCAGTTTATCTGTTCTGTTAGGGACCCTACTTATTCCTGGAATGGGATTCAAACCAGCTGAACTCCAGTTCCCTTTAAAACATTGAGAGCCCTTCAGTTGTGTCAAAGTTTGTAACAAGTTGCTGCAAAGAAGAAACACAATCCACGGACAAAGCACCATCCCACTGACTTGTGAAATGCTGAAGAATTATGTTCATCTCAAATTTGCTCAGCACCATTACTGGAATGGACTGAAATAATAACGAATAGGAGGCAGGTGCCCGGGTGCCCATAAAAATCCCAATCCTCTGGATGTCTCGGAAGCTAACAGCCCTGTGACAGGCGGCCCCGCCCGCGGCGACACCGCGCCGGGACAGCGGCGGGAGGGAGGCGGCACCGCCGGGGCGGCTGAGGGGGCTCCAGCCCGGCCCGGCCCGGAGCGACCCGCACTGAGCCCGGCCCGGCCCCGGCTGCCACAGCCCTCGGCTGCAGGGGACAGCCCTCGGCTAGAGGGGACAGCCCTCGGCTACAGGGGACACCCGCGCTGAGAACGGCAGGTGAGTGCTGGGCACCTGCTCCGGACCCGGAGCCGTATTTGCTGCCAGCTGTGCTGCGTTCGAGCTCCGTGTGATCGCCTTCACAGGGCAGGGGAGGTGGGTGACACCCCGCGGGGGGACAGACCCTGCTCAGGGACAGACCCTGCACTGGGACAGACCCTGCTCAGGGACAGACCCCGCTCAGGGACAGACCCTGCACTGGGACAGACCCTGCATAGGGACAGACCCCGCACAGGGACAGACCCCGCACAGGGACAGACCCTGCACAGGGACAGACCCTGCACTGGGACAGACCCTGCACTGGGACAGAGCCTGCACAGGGACAGACCCTGCACTGGGATAGACCCTGCACTGGGACAGACCCTGCGGGGGGACAGAGCCTGTAGAGGTACACACCTTGGGAGGTTCATTCCTGCAGAAAGGGGAGCTCAGTGACCCTTCTGTGAAATCACAGGCTTCATAGAACAAGTGGGGATGAAAGGAGAGAGATGCCCTCTCTTTCTCTTTTTCTCTGTTTCCATGTTTTTCTGTATTTCTGGAGGTTTTTTCCCTATATTTCCGTTTTCTGGAGGGGGGTCTAAGCAACCTGATGTTTTTCCCTTGGTGGGGAGTGGAACGAGCTGAGCTTTAAGTTCCCTTCCAACCCAAACCGCTCTATGATTTTATAATTCTGTGATTTTGATTATTTCTCCATTGGATGCTGGCATAATTTTCTGAGAAGACAAAGGACTTGGTATGATTCAATGTGAATTAAGTTGTTTATTGTGCTTCTAAATATTGTTTATATTTACTTCTTATCTTGGTTTATACAGTCACATATTGTTTAATTGGTAGTTCTGTTTTGTCTATGCAGCTTTTGATCGGTAGTTTGACTTTGTTTACGAGGTAAGCACACATCTCTTTCTTAAACTAATTGGTAAATGTTGTGTTATTATACTCAGGTTGACCCCCTTATGTCTGTTAGTAATTTTTTTGTTTCTTCTTTCTTTTTGTAATATTAGCTTTTTATCTATAAAGATGACTTCATTTTTTAGTTCTAGAAGGTTAGGCTGGTTCATTTAATACCTGTCTATTTTCTTGTAAATATGATCTTACAATTTTCTGGCTTAAGATGACACTTATTTTATTCTGATATTTTAGTGCTGGATAAAGAGAGAGTGTGACAGTGAGCAAACTTCAGAAGGAATGGGGCAGCTTTTCCAGAAATGTGAGTCCCCTGGCACCTCTGTAGGTGCCAGACATTCACTGGTGCCGGCACAGGTCAGGCACTGACAGGACAGTGTTGAGATTAATTCTGGTGTCCCACATAGACAACAGGAAGATACTACATGCTGTGGCCTCTTGAGGTTCCAGAGAGAATTTCTTACCGTTTATTTCAGTGTGAAACTTCCCAGTCCATCAGGGAATGAAACATTAAAACAGCTGGTCAGGCCAGGATGGGGCTTGTTTCATCTGTTGCCACTTGCAGGCTGGGGCACAATAAATTCTGTAACATAAAGAACTCAGAGCTGGGGAGTCTGCTGTGCCTCTGGTTTGAGGCAGAGAGGGGGACAGAGATAAAGCCTTCAATCCCTGGTTGCATTTTATTGTTTAATATGCTGCATGCAGTGAGCTTTGTTAACCCTCTGACTGCCTGAGAGGTACATTTAGCAAAACCCAAGGGCCATGTAAGGTCAGATGCAAGTTGTACAGGCATCCCTTGTTCTCTGCATTCCTTAAAGCCCAGAGGGGCTTAAACCCTTGTTCTCTTCTGTGTCTCAAGGGGGGTGGAAAGTCCAGGTGGAGGGATATGTCTGGTAATAAGTTGATGTTTTAATCGCATCTTTGGAGAGTCTTTATTAAATGTCTGCTGCACACTATTTTGTTTTGTGGATGAAAATGGTAAGTAAATCCCAGCTCCAGGACTGGAACATGCAAGGAAGATAGTCATGGGAGCAGCTATTACTGGGAAAAGTGGGAATGTTGGGTTAATAGGCAGCCAGGCTCCAACTAAATCCTAGACTGCTAGCAAACACCTTCAGTCAGTCATGGATGCAAACACTGAACCAGTGAGAAGAGAACTGAGCAAGAGAACAGAAGGAATTCTCTGTAGTGTGGGAATGAAGGGAGCTGATCTGCACTGTGAAAGCAGAGCACTGGTGCCTCTTGCATTCATTCCCTTGGTTCTGATCTCCTTATGTTGTGTGAAGGTTCAGTGGACTGCAGTGGGCCTGACCCTGGCTCTGTGTGCCCAGTGACAGCAGCCCTTGGCTTGCAGGTGACAGAGGGACATACTGGCACCTCAGGTGGGGAGGGAAAATCACCACAGGTTCAAGCTTGAAACAAGTCCCTTCAATTTCTTCTGGACTCTACAACGTGGATGAACTGGTGTTGAGGGACTGGAATGGGAATGCGCAACTCCCACTGAAAAGAGCAGCAAATACCCAGTAACTGGAACGTCACATTTACTTAAATTCAAATGTTGTGGGTATGGAAGACTCACTGGGGCACTCACATGCGTGGTGTGACTGTTCCTCATCCTGCTGCAGGATATGCTCCTGGGAAAACCAAAATGCTCTCCTGTCACCCAGACGGCCTCTGGCCTGATCTGAACACACAATGTCCCTGTGCTCACACATGCCCAGCATGACCAGCACTGCCAGACTCACCTGATTTGGTGTAGTGTGCTGGGTGGTTGGAGAGCTGGGGTACCTGTAATCTTCACTGATTGTGGGCCTTTATTCCATATTCCATGCCCATTTTCTTGTATAGTTTTTATGGGATTCTCATTGCTGTTACGTCAAAATGGACTTGGAGCACAACCACTGAGCTTTGCACATCTTCACCCATTTCTATGTGAATATTTCTGCCCCAAAGAAGCCTCCCTGCCACCACTTCCACTCTTAGAGCAGTCAGGACTGTCCACCAGGCTGCAGGGAAATGGGGTGTCTTGGCCTGATTTTTGATCTTGGTCATTTCTTTATGAACTGAAAATCCAGACAGGGTTTTGGACCTACCAAACCCTTGGTTTCTTGAGTTCCTGCCCTTTCTGAGCCATGTGGGTGCCAAAGTCTGTAGGAAGAGCTGTGCCAGTTGTCACTGGTCAGAGCAGGAAGACGTGACACAAATATTCCAAGAAGGGAATTGCAGGGAAAACAGAATGTTGGAAGAGTCTTGTTTCCAGTTAAATAACAGTTTTAAATTCAATCTGAAATAACTGTCCTTCAGCTGTTGCCTCTGGACATTTCTTCACTGCCCTTCCTTAGGGGAATGGCCTCACTTTCAGGGAAAAACCTGTTCCCTCTGCAGGGAAAGCAGTGCCCAGTGAGTGTCCCGGCCTCGCCGTGACATTCTGCAGGCTCCCAGTGGCACTTGGTGACTCAGCCCTGGCACACAGGGGTTAACAGGGCCTTGGGTGGGCGGGTGGAAAACAAGCTGAAATGGAAGAAGGTCAAGCTCTTGGAGGAGGTTGCTCTGTTGCAGATGGTTTTAAATTATCAGTCCCCCTGGAGGAGAGGCCCCACGAAAACTGTAAAACCAGGGCTGGAAATGAGGCAAAGCACAATCAGGTTTGTGGGATCAGTGGAACAGGAGCAGTTGTGGATCTCCTGGGACTTGTTAGACCTGTTAGACCCCACTGTCTGTCTAATTAGGAATTCCTCAGTTGAGACCCAACAGCTAAATGTGGTTGGAGACTCAATACCATTGGCACTGTTCTGTGGGGAGCAAATGCCTGGAAAGGGAGAGCACATGCGAAGAGGAACAGCAGAAATCCCCGTGGCCCTGGATAGCTCAGGCCTCTGGGATAACTCTGCTTCTGCTGCAGCTGAGGAGAGCTGAATTCAGGTTTCAGTGGAGGCATGTAAATGCTTCCTGTAGGAGCATTCCTAGGCCTTACCCAAAGTGCTGCTCTCTCTGAGACTTGTCTGGCAATGGGGTTTAGTAAAGGTGCAGCATCCAGTCAGCAAAGCCACAAACTGCTGTCCTGAACCAGCAGGACTGATGTCTGAGGGAGCATCTTTGGGATGATCATTGTCCAAAGCAGGTGAAAATGCTGTGGGAGTCCCACATTGCTAGAAAACAGTGGCTGCTACTGAGAGGATTTTCCAGTAGCAGTCCAGATTTCCCAGATCCTTGTTGTCTTATTTTCTTGGCTTGTCAACTTTCAAATGGTTTATATTTCACTTTGTAACTGCTTCTACTTTTATATCACTGCAAAGGTAACAGGAAGGATCTTAGCCCAGGCATCAGTTTGAGCAATTCCATTTTCCTCTGTTGACATGCTTTTCTCATGAACTGGGAAGCTTTAAACACTGTCACCAGCAACAATGGTCGAAAAGAAAGAAGGAATAAAGAAAATTACTCCAGAATTTAATTTTCACATTTATATTTTAAATTGTTGGTTGAAATGGTGATTCCCAGCCCTGCAAGGGAGAAATTTTTGATACCTGGGTGAGAATCTTCTTTCTCAGGCTAGTGGAAATGGTGCTCGTTGTGGTTCTTCAGTCTTGGTGCAATCTAACAGGAGTCTAAGCTGTGGCACCAAGGGTTTTCTGTGTGTTCCCTTCCCATTAGCCTCAGATTTTAAAATTGTCATCTTCTCATAGGAAAGCCTTCTTCTGGTTCTGCCAGCACAGACAGCCTGTGAACCATGGCAATCACAGTAAAAACACTTCTCTTGCTACCTTCTGGAGCCAGCCGTTCCTCTCCAATTGAACATGAGATTTAGTATGAATTTGTTCACCCAATGCAAAGGAAAGCAACGACTGTGGGCTCTCAGGCTGAAGTGAGTGAAAGCAGCCTTCAGGCCAGTCAGGTTTTGTTGCCTGCAGGTCGAGCTTCTGGGAGAAGGGAACTTGCAGTCGCACACTGGCCATCTCTGTGAGGATCAGGGACCAAGAAAAGGCCCCTCTGCTTTAGGGGAGCTTTCTGAGCAGAAGAAGGAAGGTTTACAAGGTCTTCAAGGGCAGACAAGACGCAAAAGATTTGAGGTCACAATGTACTGAACTTGTACATCTGAGTACCTGTCCATGGAAATCAGAGATCCCAGAGTGCTTTGGGTTGGAAGAGAACTTAAAAACCATCTAATTCAAGCTCCCTGCCATGGGCAGGGAACCTTCCACTGGTGGAATAAGTGGCCTTGTTTTCTGCTCATGGGAAAGGGATCAGCCTGTGTCTGTATTGGAAGGAAAGGAGCAAACTGAGGTGTGTCTTTCGACTGTAGCAGTGGAGGTATTCTAAAGCAACTGGATTTCTTTCAGGCCTTTTGGAATAGCACAGACTGAGGGACTCTTCTGCTGAGGGCCAAGCCCAGGCACGGTTGACCCACCACAAATGCAATAATTCACTGGTTTTACTTCTCTGCTAAGGAATTGTGGTATGTCGTAAGGACTCATGGCTTCTGAGTAGGACATACCCATTTGCTGGTGTGGCCTACACAATGTGGTGTACAGCCTGTCCTTTCCTTGGATCTGCACAAGTGTTTGTCCTTCTTTGAGGCCCAAGGTCTTGCATTGGAGATGCAGTGTGGCCTTGACTGATGGTCGCATCTGGGCAGGCTGGCCCTGCCCGTGGCCAACCTTGCCAAGGGCTCCAGGGCACCTCCCCTGGGCTGGGGGAGTGTGGGGCTATAATGAGCCCCCAGGGCTGCTCCAGCTCAGTGTGGAGACACCCAACAGCTCCTGGGCACAGCCTCACCTTCTGCAAGACTGGAGAGGTGTGAGGGGGACAACAGTTTGCTGTTTCTTTTGTCATTTAGTGACATTTACACCGAACGGATAAGGGGTTTATCTTCCTTCCCACAGGTCACTGATATCTGGGACCAGGGGACCCACTGGGCAGCTATGAAGAGCTCTGTGCTCTGAGTGAACAAAGGCACTGTGGGCCTGGAGACGCAGAAGTGACTTCCAGAGCATCCTCTGAGAAGCTCAGCCTGTAGAGTGGTGAGTTTTGCCGTGTCACCACTGATTTGTGTGGGGGTGATGCAGAGCTGGGACTGGGAAGTGACACCTTTGTTGTGACACTGAATGTGGGTTTGTGTTGCAGTATGTCTGGAAATGGTTGTAAACATTCTGGGAGTAGTGGAGTCCTGTCATATTTGGCTCCTGTAGGGTACACTGATTTCCCTGGATTTCCCTGGGAAGATGCCAGGCTGTTGAAGATCTGCTGTCATTGTCTCTTGGAGCTGGCAGGGGACTTGTGGCACAGGTACCCTGGGGGTGTCCTACAGGTTTTCATCCTGGACAGTGAGTAGGGATATGTTATCTTTCCTTCCTGGCAGTGAGACACTGTTGTGTTAGCTCTGTGATACTTGCTGTAAATCCACTGCCTGTATCAAAGTCTGTTTCTGTTATGAAAAATCAATGGGAGTGTTGTGGCCACGGAGAGGCACAGACTGACCAGTTCTCTTGCTGCCATCCCATCCCTGCTGCTCCAGAGGGACATGGATTCACTCTCCTGCTCACTGCTGGGGCCAAATGGCTTTTGCTCCCTTAGAAAATAGGGATGGTGTGTGCATCCTCTTGGCCTTTGGTATCAGTGCCACTTTCATACATAAATGGGTGCAGGGTATCTAGTTTGTGTTTCTGTGGATCCTGAGCAAGCACTTAGGTCGTGTTCATAATCCCTGGGGCAGAGGAGAAGATCAGGTCAGGTATAGATTTACCAAAGGGATAAGTCACACAAAATCTGATCCTTGGGCATTCCTCCCCACTCTGCACAAGACCTCCATTCATCACTGGAGAGCTTGTGACATTCCCGCTCTGTGACCTGCTCAGAAGTTTTAATGAAGTTTCCCTTCTGCAGTTTATTGGCTTCAGTTCTGTGGTTCTAACCAAATAATTTGAAATTTTCCTTGAAAATTCATCTGAAATGGGAAGACTCGAGCTCAAAAGATTACTTCAAGTTAACAAAAAACCACAGAAAGCCAACGCAAAGCTAAAAGAGAACTTCTAGTTGAAATATACTCACTGGGTATCTGGATCTCTGGGGTAAAGCGCAGCCAGAATTTGACTGAGCTCACAACAAATTGGTATTTTGTTTAGAACATTTTCTGTGTCAGGACCACCTAGATTTTCATGATTTACAAAGAGAAATTCAAAGAGAATTACAAAGAGAAAAGCTTTGTCAGGGGATGTTAGGCTGGATATCAGGGAAAGGTTCTTCCCCCAGAGGGTGCTGGGCACTGCCCAGACTCCCCAGGGAATGGGCACGGCCCCGAGCCTGTCAGAGCTCCAGGAGTGTTTGGACAGCACTGCCAGGGATGCCCAGGGTGGGATGGTCCCTGTGAGTCCCTTCCAGTTCAGCAGATTCCTTGATACATGCCCCTATGAAAGAAATGCTGCCTCTGTTGCTGATTACTTTACCATCAGTGGTTTAAGTCTGTGCTAATGGCTTTATCCCCACTGTGTCTGTGCTTGTGCAATGCCCATGGCACATCCCGAGCCTCTGCAGCCATCCCCTCCCCATGAACCACTCACTGCATGCCACTTCCCTACAGGTTTGGCTAATTTTGCCCACTAGTCTGCCAGCAATTATGTCACATCTTGTCTGTGTACTGCACTGTCTGAAGCCTGTAAATAACTCCCTGTGACACCCCCAATACTTACAAATCCTCTGACTCCCAAATGTTTTGCTTATTCACTCAGCTGATTTATGGCCCCAGTACTGGTGTCCAGTCAGGGTCACAGGGAATGGTCTCTTGCTCTGTCTCATCCAGACAGATTGATGAACACACAGAATGAAGGGCACCCTCCCACGCTGCCAGGCTTCTTGCTTTATTTTGGGACATTAAAAATGCTGTCAGTAGCCAAGGGCTTGCTCCAGCTCTGCACTGAAAGCCTCTGTATTCAGTGGGGATGTCCCTGCAGCTGCAAAGCAGACAGACATCTGCCTGGAATGAGGAATGGCCAACTGGCTACCTGAACAAGGCTAATGCATGACAGGGATGTGTTTTACAGAGGAGCGAGAGTGTTCAGCTGCTTCCAGTGTCACTCTGTTGTGCAGGGGGTGTTAGCAACATTCACCTGGGGAGGGGTGACTCCCTCTTGGAAGCATTTATTCCATTGAATAAATCATCCTCGTTTGGGCACCAGTGTTTCAAGCACCTGCGAGTCAAGATATGAATTACACTATGGCAATTTTTGGAAGGCTTTTGCTGTCTCATTTAAAAAATTCTGTGATTTCTTTTTCTAGATTGAACTGGAGTCAGAACAAAGCCATGGTCATTCATGTAACAAGGGAGTAAAACTTTTAAAAGTAAGCAGGGGTAGGTTTTAGTGACTCTGTGCCAACCGGGGTGTTATTTTCTGGTCCTTATTTAATACACAAGATACTGGAAAATGCAACGTGGTTGGATTCATTACACTGAAGGAATGTTCCCTTCATATCCAGCACTGTTATTTAACCCTGCAATCAATGTGTGGCATTAACATGCTTCCTTCTCATTCTCCAGAAGTCAGGAATTCACACGAGTTTAAGGACTCACAGGAGCTTATTTTTAATCCAAGTGAATTTCTGAAATCTTTAAGACTCTGTAAACTCAGCAGTTTATTCATACTGCACATTGTGCATGTTGCCCACTTAGAGATGGGGCCTGTTACTGCCTGTGCAAACATTGATAGTATTTGGGGGTTTTACCAAACTAGATTTGAATTTAGGCCTCTCTTAGCAGTTTCTGTTATGGTAACACATGTCCACTGTCACACCAGGCTGAGAATGAAACATTCTGACATAAAACATTTGGAGACGTGAGGAAAGGCTTTGGAGTTGAGTTTGTACCATGTTGCTGTTTCAGAGTAGCTGCTCCTCTCCCAGCATGCAGGAAAGGAGTCAGGAGTAGCAAAGAATAAATGCAAGTGTAACATAAACAGAGCTTAGGGGAAAGCTGCTGCGAGCTGGTGTCAGGTCATCCTGTTTGGTGAGTGTTGTAAGCATCAGGCATTCCAGCTCCAGGAGTGGTGACATGTTTAGGAAGATACAAGAGGCAATAGGGGATTATGTTTGTTGTTAATGCGGTTCAGTACAGGACAAATTGTTGTTAATGTGGAGGACAAATTAAATCCATAAGAGGGTGATCAAGAGCCTCTAAAAATCTCAGCCATTCACTGTGCAATGCCCTGCCCAGGGCAGGACAGAGTGCCCTGGAATCAGCTTCTTTTCAGTTCAGTTTTGTGTCTTTTCCTTCCCACAAGTTCCTCATTCCCTTCATTCCCAAGTTCTAAGACATCTCCCAAGGGTTTACAGAAGTAACTGTGTGATGTACCAGACTACCAGGTACAGATGAAATGCAAACTCTTTGTTGTGGTGGGAGCAGCAGAGGACACCCAGATCAGGCAGGACGGGACAGGAGAGAGGGCTTGGCTGGTGCTCACACAGCCCTCTCCCATTTCCCAGTGCTGTTGTCTCAGTGCATTTCCACTGAGGCCAGAGAGGCTCACAGGGATGTCAACTATTGCTGAGATTTGTAGTGTGTGCAGAGCCCCAAAACAAGATTTGTGGTAAGGACAAAATGGAGAGGTGATTTTTTGTAGGGAGGTACCTGTGGCTCTTTGCAGCTGCTGAGTAATGGCAAAACACATTTTGGTTCAGAAGCTGACCCAGAGGTACTGTGAGTGACACTCTCTTTGGCCTGGGCATGGTTTATCCAGCACAAATTATTTTTGCTCACTAGGTTGTCTCTTACCTTTAGCTGAAACCAATTCTCACCCAGACAATGCAGCTTGGAGTTAAATGTGTGACAAGGAGATGTCACCCGTATGTTTTCATCAGGTGCCAGGTGACAGAGCTCAGCTGGATGAATGTCTGGTGTGCTCCCAAAGTCCCTGTGCCTTTCAAAACTGATGGAAGGTGCATATTCCTGTGTCCCTCTGTTGACTGAAGGAGTGCAGAGCGTAAGCAGAGACGCAGCACTAATGCCACAGGCAATCCAATCTAATTGCTCTTTCAGAGCTGCAGTAACTCTATAGTTCCTGAGCATCTTTCACATGACAGAGAATCTGCTTTCCCAGCTTGCTGCAGGGCAGGGATGTGTTACATTACACGCTGTCCAATTTAAAATACAGGGAAAGAGACTCCTTTGGCAGAAGGTCCCCTGAATGATCCATAACAATAACTCCTTAATGCCAAGCTCACACTTCACCATTCCCTTCTAAAGGCTTCTTGTCTGCTCTCAGGTCTGTTGCTAATTTAACCAAGCTAAATGAGATCAGGATGTACCTCTGCTCCATGTCCCAGTTTAGACATCCATCTCTGTGGTTTTCTTCTCAGCAACTGCTCTTGCCATCCATCAGAACCCACCACGTGAGTGCCATGTGGTGAATGTTTGCCTGAAACACGAGAGGAGGTCTTTAGAGGAAAGCCAGGTGACACAGAGGGATGCCACTGGATGTGTACATTTTCCATCCAGCCCTGCTAATCATCCTCATGCCCAGGTTGTGTTGGGCATGACAGGCTGATTGGCAGGTCTGCCTCTGCTTGGCTGCAAGGATGGGGCAAGTGAGGAAGGACAAACTGTGTCACTAAAGGGAGCAGTGTTAAGGTCTGTCCTTCCTCTTGCAAACTGTAAATAATGAAAGTATTTGTCTTTTTCAAAGGAGAACTTGTAATCTGTTTGTGCTGACCTCGGAAAGCTGAGCAAAGCATCATGAGCAGCCATCAGACAGGTGAGAGAACAGACACGGTTCTGGGGAATATTCCCCTGGGAATAACCCCTGCTTCTCTAGCTTGGAGATGGCAGGGACTGACCCACCAGGCTCTGACTTGGCACTGGAGCTTTTCTCATGCCAGATTTTGTATTTGGGACAAGAACTGATGCAAAGCTCTCCCTGTCCAAACCGTCACTGTGAGCCAAGGTGGTCCTGGATTAGGACTTTGATTGCAGAATTTCCTACTTGGCACAACTTTGCCAAAGCCACCACAAAATCCCAGACCTTAATCCCCAAGCCTTGGGACACATTACAGCCTGTGGCACTGGAATAGATGGGACCTTTGTGGTCCAAGAGGAGCTGAGCAGGAGCAGTTATTGCTCTCCTGAGGCCATGCAGAGAGAGAGATTCTTTCTGAAGGACAGACATGTAAATTTAATTTTTTTCTTGATTTTCTAGTAAAAATCTTCAAGAAATCCTCTATCCCAGGAGTTGTTGTCACTCAGTTTGTGAATGATGTTCCATCAGGATGCAGTACACCTGATTTTGAGAAGAAACCACTCACTCTGACACTGCAGGAAGGTGAGACTTGATAAACAGGCAAAGCCACAGATTTGGGCGTTTGACTCCATGTCCTACCTACATGAAAAAATTATCATGGTTACATCTAGTGAGTTTCTAAAGTGATTTGACATGACCACAAAAAAAGCGTTGTGTTTTTGTTACACTGATGACAATTCCATCAGTACTCACAAAGGTCTCCTGAGTTGTCACTATGTGTATGCAAGACCAACATCCAGCTCTTATGTGTACAGCAAATCTGGTGAATTCTGCAGGAAGCTCTCACAGTAAGGATTTTGCAGCAAAAGATTAAGCACAATGAACAGCTGTTGGGTTTTTTTGTTCTCCTGTTGAAAGAACTTGTGCTCAGCACGAAAATCAGCTGTTTTTAAAGTGGATATGCTGACTGGAGGTGCTGTTTAGGCTATAGCAGCCTTCCAGTGCCTAAAAGGGCTCCAGGAGAGATGAAAAAGGGCCTGGAGTGCCAGGACAAGGGGAATGGCTTCCCACTGCCAGAGGGCAGGGTTAGGTGGGATATTGGGAAGAAATTCTTGGCTGGGAGGATGGGCAGGCCCTGGCACAGGGTGCCCAGAGCAGCTGTGGCTGCCCCTGGATCCCTGGAAGTGTCCAAGGCCAGGCTGGACGGGGCTTGGAGCAGCCTGGGATAGTGGAAGGCGATCCTGCCCATGGCAGGGGGTGGAATGACTGGGCTTTGAGGTCCCTCCTACCCAGGCCATTCCATGGTTCTTGCACAGAGCACAGAGCAGGCAGCTGATGAGCCAAGAACATGAATCAATGAAGAGCCTCCCAGAGGTCTCTCTGCGCCTGCAGAGATTCCTTTTGTTTTTTCTTTTTTGTTGTTGTGGAGTGGCCTGAGAACATCGTGTAGCTCCTCTTGCCTGCCAGGACTGAACCAGCAGCTTGGATTTCGGCGTTCCACACTCACCTGTGGATTTCCAGGAGCCACTGAGGTTTTATGAAGGAGCACAGTGGCCTCTAGTGGAACCTGTCCCTCTTCTCCTCCTCCACCTGCACGTTTCACGCACTACCCAAGGCCCCTGGCTAAGTTTTCACCTGTCTGTATTTTCACCTATGTAAATTTTCCAAGTTACTTCATTTTCAGCAGGTTCTTTGTGCATTCAGGTTGGTCACTGCAATTCTGTGTCTGTGTAGAGGCACCACGAGGGCCTTTAATTCTATCATCACCCCACTGTGTCCAGTGTGTGGCTGAGCTGATTCTGCTGCCTGGGTGGTCTGTGACAGATGGCAAGCAAGGGAAAGTGCAGCCAAAGTGACTAAAATGTAATACAGGGATAACAAACTGCAATCAGACTTCAATGAGAGACAGTACTGCAGTCTCAAAGGCTGGAGATCTTTTGATAAGCATCTGTTGGCAGGAACTTGTTCCATCAAATAAGTTTGGTGGTGGTGACTGCAGAAAGGTGTGAGAAATATTGCCAGACTTTCCAGGGAGAATCTTTACAGTGTTGGTCACCTGAAGACCAAGAGTATTAAAAAATAATAGAGAGTGATCATTTCCACCCTAAGGTGTTTCTGTGGATAACTCACCTCCATTTCTATTCCCACTCACCCACACAAGTCACTTCTCTGATTGTTTCCCAGTGTTCCCTGTGGTTTTGGAGCCTGTTGGAGGAGGTTTTTACTGGGCCATGGGAGAGCTGTTGGAGGTTTCTGTGGTGGGCTGCTGGGTACTCAGGCTCCTGGGGAGCAGGGATGAAGGAGAGGAACCCCCTTCTCTTCTCCCTCCCTTGTCTCTTCAAACAGCAGAGCCTGGTGGTTTGGAGTGCAAGGTGGTGCCAGTTAAAGATTGGAGAAACAGTGGGATTTGATAGAGAATATGTGTGATGAGAAGGGATTTGGACAGTTCATGAGTAAAAAGGAAGTCTGGGTTGAACTTGCTATCAGGCTTCTGATTTCAGTGATGGCCAGAGATGTCAGCAGCCACGTCTGGCAGGATAATGCTAGATTTTAAAGGCCTTTTATGACTGAATACACACAAAACCTGAATTATTGATGTGCAAAAGAAGATGTTATTTTTGAAGAATGTTTCTGCATAAAATAACAGAAATTACTCACTCTGGGGATCATTCTTGATAAGAAAAGGAGCCAGGCCTGAGCATCCTCATGTCCAAGCCTATCTTAAATAACTAAATTCTTGTCTCTTTTCAAAGGTAAAAATGCCATTTTCAGAGCTGTGGTCAAAGGTGTCCCAGCTCCTGAGGTGAAATGGTCACGTACACGGAAAGGAATGGATGATCCTGCCAAATATGAAATGTCCTTCAATAGTGCTACAAATGAATTCATTCTGCAGGTAAAGATCAAATGCTTCAGAAAGGAGTTGTGGAACTGAGAGAAATGGACAGGAAAAACCTTCAGTGGGATGAGGGGAAGCAGAGGGGCAGCCCCAATCTCTGCTCTCTGTCAGCTGGGACAGGACCCAAGGAAGGGCTGGAGCTGTGTCAGGGCAGGTCAGGCTGGATATCAGGAAAGGTTCTTCCCCCAGAGGGTGCTGGGCACTGCCCAGGCTCCCCAGGGAATGGGCACGGCCCCGAGGCTGCCAGAGCTCCAGGAGTGTTTGGACAGCACTGCCAGGGATGCACAGGGAGGGATTGTTGGGAGTGTCCTATCCAGGAGCTGGACTAGATGATCCTGTGGGTCCCTTCAAACTCAGAGTATTCCATGATTCTACACATCCCCAGCTCTGAGATAACACAAAGATAAGCAAACAAAGCTTTTTAGAGCCCTTCCGGGAACAGGAGAAGCCTCTGAGGTGCCATTGAGTAGCTGCTTTATGAGCAGCTGAAGGTGAACTGAACCCCAGCCCTTTCTGTGAGCAGTTTCTGTGCTCTTCCTTTGAAGATCAAGAGCCTGGTTCAGGATGACAGTGATTTGTATCGTTGCTGTGCTGTCAATGCCTATGGAGAGGCCTCGTGCTCTGCTGGCCTCAGGATCATCCAAGGTAGGACTGGAGCTCTGGGCTCCACAGGCCCCTGGTCCCAGCCAGTGGCTATGCTGTTCCCTGGGCTGGGTGTCCAGGACTTTGTCTGGGTATTTTGGTGTGAAGGTTTGGTATTCCCCTCATTGGAGACTGGAGATCTTTTGGTGGCTCCCTAACATTGTGAGCTTTAAGGCAAGGGGGAAGAAAGTGGAATTGTGCTCACTGCACTGGTCCATAGGCAGATACCCTGGATTTATTGCTGAACTGCCCCAATCCTTTCTTTATGGTGTTGAATTAATCAGCCCTCTGGGAGGGATCCATCCCTCTGCAGCTGTCTCTGCACCTCATTCCTGCTTCTGTCATAGTCAGTGCAGAGAAATGGGCACTTGGTGGATCAGACATAACTGATCTTCTTGGAATCCACTTGAGCAGAAGATGGATTATATCTAAATGTCCGTGTCACCTCTGTGCCTTTCAAGTAAGTTTAGAAGGCACCTATCTACTGTTGTCATTTCCATCTTGGCTTCCCATCTCTAAAACAAGATGTTGATATTTCCTCCTATTGCTTAGACCATAAAATTGGTAGGGCAACAATGCTCTCCTCCTCTGCATGGAGTCTCCAGGAAGCATAGAATCAATGGCAATATAAATATCACCTTTATAGATGGAGTTTACTGAGAGCAAATGTCAGATTGACAAGGAAATCCAAACTGGGATTCCCTCTTGCACTGGTAACAGATGCAGTGGTTTCATGGCTCATTGGTTCACTGCTGTTAATCTAATCTTGTTCATCCTATAGCTTGTTTTTCTTCTGTTTTCTCTTATAAATGATCAGTTGGCTTTAAGAGGAAGGCAAAATATGTTCCTGTTCATGCTGCTGATGGTGAGTTAAAGATCTATATGTATATTATATTATTGGGGAGGGCAGAGAGAAAAATACTTTGTCTGTCACACTATTGCTACCCCAAACTTGTAAAGATTGGAGTAAGACAAGGATTAATGAGCCTCTAATGTTCTGTCATCCCTGTCTGCTTGCTCTTTACCTTTTGCTAAAGTGATGATTTTAGACACAGTTTTGGGCTGTTCTAATTAGTGATTGTGGAATCATTAGGAAAGGAAAAAGGGATTTGGGGATGTGAAACACATCTGGATCAAACTTGTTAGCATGGCTGACAATAGTGGGTGTCTAGAGGGAAGCCCTTTAGGGAGAGATAAACTTCACTGGCACTCAAAGGATGAGCATGGCAGTGAGAACTGACTAAGTTTCCTGACAGTTTTTTGTTAAAGCCTGAAAAAAACAACCGAGGAAGAGACCTCAGCAGAATGCCCTGTTGTCATTGGCTATTCTGCATTATCTACTTTGGGGGGATGCATTTCACAGTGCTGGGTATGTGACTGTTAGTTGCTTCCCCCTCTCTTGTAACAGAGCTCAAGAAGACACTCCTGGACTCCAGGAAGATGCTGAGGAAGAGGTAAGGCTCTGGAGTGAGGGCCATGTTCCCACTTCTGGATGTTTCTCAGTGCTAGGGGACAGCTCCAGAGACCTTCAGGGCAACACTTCTTGTGTCCAAAGTTGTGGTGAGACTCCCTGTGGAGAGACAGGCCAGAACAGCTTGGCACTGCCAGCTGGACTGAGATAAACACAAGATTCCAGCCTCATTGTGAGGGGTATTTCCTCTGCACCACGAGGGTCTGACAGGGAGCCTGTGTTTCTCTGCTTCCCATGTTTAGCTCACAAGTATCTTCCTGTCCAAAGAACAACTCTTCATGCACTGATGGCTCTGGCTGCCCAGGGGTGAGCTCTGGCTCCCAGCCCAGCTGCACTGCCAGGTGCATAGGGCAGAATCCTTCCCTTCCCAGATGGGAAGCTCTAAGGATTGTCTGCTGATAATGATCTCTGTGCAGAATCCTGAACTGTGCTAGGCAGTTACCTGGCCTGGGCCAAACTGCACCAGACCCTCTGGTGATAATTCAGCAGGGTGGAAGCTGTTCCCTGGCACCATTTAATTTGTAGTACAGATGCAGAAAACCTGCTCTGGAAGAGTCCCAGTCTTTCCTGCCTGCACCTACAGGGCCAAGTGAACTACAGGAATGATGGAGAGAGATGAAAGAGAATTAGGGATAGAAAAGCAGGACATTTTGTTGTCCATGAAAATGTCTGAATGGTTCCCCCCTGGTTCTTAGGGCTGCAGCACCAAAACCAAAGCCCCTGGACAAAGAAGCTGTGTGGCAGCTGCTGCTGCATGCAGATAGGAGAGATTATGAGAAAATCTGTATGAAATATGGAATTGCTGACTTCCGTGGGATGCTGAGGAAGCTGCAGGAGATGAGGAAAGAAACAGAGAGTGAACAGGACAAGGTAAATAAACTGAAACCACTATTTTTTAACAAAATGCAGCTTCTGAAAACAGGCTATATCTTCCTAAATTGCTTTGGAGATGAAAATTTTGTTGTATGACAGTGATTTATGACAATATTTTAAAGAAGTTCCACTTTTTTACTCATGCAAGTGAAAATGCTAATGGATTTCTTGAAGCTCAGTTCACAGATTTTAGAGATACTAACCACAGGGGTATTCAGTTGTCTCTGATAAGAATTTGGACCCCAAATTGAAAATTATATGTCCAAGAGTAAAAATTGGCCTTCACATACAGGGGCATGTAGAGACCTGGATGGGCAGTGTGGGAGTGGCCAGGAGGCAACACATAAAAAGTCATTTATATACAGGAGGAAACTGTGGCAACTTACAGACACTGCAACTCACTGTACCAGAACTGTGACTTACAGATACTTCTACTACATAATGTTAGAGGTAGCTCTTTAAAGTAGATTTCACATTAATTCAACAGCTCAAGAACTTTTGTGGTGGCAGCTTTATCATTTACTAGGTTCTTCAACATTTCTTTGCAGTTAATTCACACTCTCAAAAACTTTGAACACATCAAAGTCAACAAGGAGGGAAATGCTACGTTCAGCCTGGAGATGGAGCTGAAAAACAGCAACAGCAACGTTTACCTGCTCAAGGTGAGGGGGATAAGTTGGCAGCAGCAGCTCAGAGCAGCCCCTCAAGTGTTCTACAAGGCAAGGTTTCATCTGCTAGGCAGTGGCTGAGAGCAAATAAATGCCTTAAGGTTGTCTGTCTTTTGCAGATCCCTGCTTGGTTAGGGAGCAGCGTGGTGTGGGGTGATCTTTGGTGGTGGATATCCCTGTGGATTTGTAGATCCAAGTACAGAGCATGCAGTCAGTTACTGACGTCCTTGTGTCTTCAGCAATTTCATAGAACAGTTGAGTTGGAAGGGACCTTTGAAAGATCAAGGGACCTTAAAACATTCCACCTTCTGCCATGGGCAGGGACACCTTCCACTATCCCAGGTTGCTCCAAGCCCTGTCCAGCCTTGCCTTGGACACTGCCAGGGATGGAGCAGCCACAGCTTCTCTGGGGACCCTGTGCCAGGGGCTCCCCACCCTCATGGGGAAAGCTACTTTCTTATATCTAATCTGGCCCTCCTTCAGTTTAAGACCATCACCCCAACAGTGTCTTTCAGGCTGCAGAAATTCTGCAGTTTCATATAAATTTTATTCACTTTCTCAAGTGTTTTATTGCACTATAACTCCCTCTGTGAAAGAAGATCTCAGAGATGTAAAACATTCCCTCTAAATCCATAGTCCCCCAGATGGAATCTGCAGGTGCTCATTGATGGGTGTGTTTTTCTGAAAGATAATTTTTAGTCAAATTGTAGTTAGAGGCTTTAATCCAGGGGAAATCAGAATGCCCTGAAGGGAAGAACAGACTAACCATGAATCTTCTGGATCAAATATATGACATGAAGTCAATGAGCCACAATTTGGACAATGTAACCCAAGTGTGCTACAGAAAGCGGTGAACTCTCCTGCACATCCAGCTATGAGGATGCTGAAATCTAGAAAAGTGCTTTGTCTTTGTAGCTGCAAGAACTATGCATTAATTAAGCTTCAGACCCTTATGTGAGTAGCCAAGAACTGCTGTTTTGCTGAGTTTCAGAGCCTGGTGCCCTGCTCTGTGCAGGATTCACTGCCCAGACAGTGCCTGTGTACTGCAAAGAGCCCTGGGCACTGTGAGGTTACTCATTTTTATCAGCAAGGGGATTGTAGCACCAACCTGTCCTATGTGTTTGAAATGCCTGGCACTGGCTGAGCCTTTGTGAGGACACTCCTCCCCTGCCCTCCCCTGGCCAGGACGGCGAGCGGCTCCGGTACGGGACAGGGGATGAGTACAGGAAGCACTGCCTGCGCAGAGTTGGGAGGAGGTACTACTTCACTGTCAACGATGTGCAGCCAGAGGATGCAGGGGTGTACCAGGTCAGGGTGGAGGACGTCCCTGTCTTCTCAACTGAACTGGATGCTCAAGGTAAGGAATTCAGTTTGATGGATATGGTGTGCAACTGTGACAAAAGTTGGGTTTTTTTGCTGGAAAAAATATTATGTCTAGGAGCAAGTGCAAGGCTCACTAACTCCTGACCACCACGGAGGATTGGTTTTGTGCTGCCCAGTAAAGGCTCCTCGTCTGGCACAGGTGAAAAGGAGCAGGAGGGTGATTAAGTGCTTTAGGTTCTGCATTTGCTGTCCAAGGGAGCAGGCTTAACCTCAAGTACCAGTCTGGCTGTGAGTGACAGTGAGCACACTCCTTAACCTACCCCATATTACAGTTTGCTTCTGTGAACTCAGAATAATACCAACAAACTTAATCTGAGTATCACACTGCAGGAACACATCAATGACTACAGACTGGAAGCACATCAGTGCTGTGAGATACAAATGTCTCAGAAGATAATAAAGACAAAAATCTCCTTTTCTGCTTTTCTGCAAACTTGGGCACAGAAGTACATCTGAGTTTTTCCTTTTTCTCAGTAACCCAATGCTCAGAGGCACCACAACTTCCTGTTCTTTCCTCCTTCAGCTGTAACAAATTTTCTTGGAGCACAGAAGTGGCTGTTTCCTTCCCATAGCTCTCGGTTTCCCCTGCAGCCATCCCGGCGCGGTTCCGGCAGCCGCTCTCCGACGTGCGCTGTGCCGAGGCCGGGGACGCCGAGTTCCAGTGTGTGCTGTGCACGCCCTGCCACCAGCCCCTGTGGCTGCACAAAAGCCACCCCCTCCAGGCCAGTGACAAGCACCAGATCTCTGTGACACCTGATGGCCTGACCCACAAGCTGATTGTCAGGAACGTGGGGCCCTCGGACAGCGGCCTGTACACGCTCGACGCGGGACAGGGCTCCTCCAGCGCCTGGCTCCTTGTGGAGTGTGAGTGCTTGGCAGAGGGTTGTTCCCATGGTGTGTTGGCACAAAACATGCTTCTCACTGCCTGATGGCTCAGGGAGATGTTGCTCTGCGGGGAAATTAATTGCTGAGCCTCTAAGTCCAAAATTATGGCTGAGAAAACTGGAGGTGTTCAGTGTGGAGAAGATGAGAGTCCAGGGAGACCTTGGAGCCCCTTCCAGGGCTTAAAGGGGATCCAAGAGAACTGCAGAGGGACTTTGGAAAAGAGATGGAGGGACAGGGCAAGGGGGAATGGCTTCCCAGTGCCAGAGGGCAGAGTTAGATGGGATAGTGAGAAGGAATTATTGGCTGTGAGGGTGGTGAGGCCCTGGCCTCACCAGAGAGACTGTGGAAGTCTTCCATCCGTGAAAGTGTCTGAGGCCAGGCTGGATAGGGCTTGGAGCACCCTGAGATATGGAAGGTGTCCCTGCCCATGTCAGGGGGCAGAATGAGATGAGTCTTAAGGTCCCTTCCCATCCAAACTGTTTTGTGATTCCATTATTTTAAATCCTGTTTGGAAAAATGAATGTCTGGTTAGACCCTCTTTCCTCTTCAAATGAGACCAACTTTTCCCCTTTTAATTAGTCCTGACAAATCCTGTTGGCTTGTTTGCTCTACAGCTATGGTGAAGTAGCACATTCTCCATCACTTATTGGAAAAACGCTCCCTATCTCCCCACATGTTTGAGAAAGCTGTCCCAGTGATCACAGTGCAGCAGGCAGGGGCTCAGGGAGCTTTTAATACTCTCAGTTCTACACTATCAATGCCATTCTTCTTGCTAGATAACATTTTTCATTCCAAATTAGAGTTAAACATGCTGGAAAGAGCTCAGAGGAAGCTGGAAAGATGGGAGCACAGTGCAGGCACATTCACAGTCACTTGGCTTACATTTGTTTACTTATGAGAGGTGGTTCCTTTGGTTCCCTTTGACTGTGGTTTCCTTTGGGATCCTCTTGCAGCAGCAGGAGGGGTCTCTCTCACAAAGGTCCCTCCAAAGCAATGCAGGTTTCTGAAACAAAGAAATTGCCCTTGGATTTCACTGAGCTGTGAGCTCTGATAAATTATATCTGACCTGGAAACCCAAAGCAGTGAGTGACCTGCTCTCAGAACAGCCTGAATTTCAGATTAATCCAAAGCTATTCACAGATCTGAAAGCTTTAGTCCTTAGGTTGGGCATCCCTAAACCAGCCATTATCCAGATGTGCAAGCTGCCTCCAGAGCAGTGAAATCCCAATTCCAGGGTGGGAACTGATGGCTCCTCTGTGCCTGGAATATTCTGTAACTCCTCCATAGCTGGAGGGTGAAGGCAGACGGAATTAATGAATCCCACATACAGTCTCAGCCCCTCTAAATCCAACCTGCCATGCTGGAAGTTTCTTTTTCTGTTATTTTTGGTTTGTTTGTTTGTTTGTTTGTTATAATGAGCATGTTTCCATTTAAAAACAATGCATTTTAACTAAAAATAATTGTCTTTAACTAACATCTCATTGTCTGAATGTGGCATTGAAAAATTCAGGATTTGAAATTATTTTAAATTTATTTAAATGTACTGTGTGTGTATGTCCTAAAATGAAATTCAAAAAGTGTTAACACATTTTCTTTGGTTGTTGATGCAGTGCATGTCCTATTGATTTTCTGTTATTTTGTTCCCCTCTTTTTCTGTAAATTGTAAATCTGCTGTCATGAAACAATGCAACTTCAGATGCCAAAGGAAAGAGGACACAGGATGAAGGAGAAAAGATTGAAAGGGAGACATCTGAGTGGCTGAAAGAAACAATGGCAGACAACGAAAGGGCAAGGAAGCTTCGGCGCCAAGAACAAGCTGCTGCTGAAGGTCGTCCTTCCTTTTCCACATCTTCTGGTGTGGAGAAAAGTGGCTGGTCCAGAACAGGCCAAGGCAGCAGTCAAGGCAGGGGCCAAGGACACTCTGTTGATTCTGATGATGGAAGCCAAAGATTTTTGGGAAAAGAAGGGCTACGCAAAACCCACATGAATGGAGAGATGGGGTCTGGGCAGTTTTCTGGAGCAGGTCTAGATGGAGACTCAGCAGCCAGTGACGGCAGCATCTTTGGGCTAAAAGGCTTAGGGGGCAGAAGTGGGTTAAGGGCTGTCCATGGCATGGACTCTGTGTCAGGCAGAGCAGGTCCAGGTGGTGCAGTAGGAGGGGCAGGTGAATGGAATTCTGTGGATGGCAGAGGTGAAGGTTTGCTGGGTGCTGTTAATGTTGACATGGATGATGGAGAAGGTTTGGGCTCTCAGCATGACAAGGATGGGAATTTAGGTGATGCCAGTTACAGAGCTGGTTTTGGGGGTGCTGGGAGGTTGGGTGGTGAAAGTTCTGTGCCAGATGGCCTTGATCCTGATTCAACTGGAGTGGGAGCCAGTGTGGGTGATCTGTTCAGAAGGACTGGTCCAGGAGCTGGAGGTGGGGGGAATGCTGCAGGTGCTGGAATGGCAGGAGGAATGAGATCCCACCATGGCAAGGATGGGCATGCCACTGTGGGTGATATGAATGGAGCAGGTGTAAACAGAGAGGGACAAACAGGGACTCCCTATGGCAAGGATGGCCTGACACCTCATGCCAGTGGTCAGTTAGGGCAGACAGGAAGATCTGGTTCATTGTATGGGCCAGGACGCCTTCCAGGTGGAGATGGGGCTACACCTGGTACAGGTGGCAATTCTGCAGGAGAAATGGAGGCTTTGTATGGTCCAGATGGTCAGGCACTGGCAGCAGGTGCTGGTGGAGCTGGTGCAGGGGGATTTGGGTCTCCCTATGGAAAGGATGGTCTCCCAGCAGGTGCTGGTTTTGGTGGTGTTGGTGCAGAGGGACTTGGAGCTCCCTATGGGAAAGATGGTCTTCCAATTGGAGCAGGTGCTCGTGGAGCTGGTGGTGCAGGGGGACTTGGATCTCTCTATGGAAAGGATGGTCTCCCAGCTAGGGCTGGTGATGCTGGTGTAGGAGGATTTGGAGAGGCTTTGTATGGTCCAGATGGTCGGCCACTTGGAGCAGGTGTTGGTGCTGGTGGTGGTGCTGGTACAGGGGGATTTGGAATTCCCTATGGAAAGGATGGTCTCCCAGTTGGAGCAGGTGTTGGTGGGGTTGGTGTAGCTGGTGTAGGGGGATTTGGATCTCCCTATGGGAAGGATGGTCTCCCAGCTGGAACAGGTGCTGGTGGTGCAGGAGGATTTGGGGAGGCTTTGTATGATGGTCGGCCACTTGGAGCGGGTGTTGGTGCTCGTGCTGGTGCTGGTGCAGGGGGATTTGGATTTCCCTATGGGAAGGATGGTCTCCCAGCTGCAGCTGGTGGAGCTGGTGTAGGAGGACTTGGAGAGGCTTTGTATGGTCCAGATGGTCGGCCATTTGGAGCAGGTGTTGGTGCTGGTGCTGGTGCTGGTGCAGGGGGATTTGGATTTCCCTATGGGAAGGATGGTCTCCCAGCTGCAGCTGGTGGAGCTGGTGTAGGAGGACTTGGAGAGGCTTTGTATGGTCCAGATGGTCGGCCATTTGGAGCAGGTGTTGGTGCTGGTGCTGGTGCAGGGGGATTTGGAATTCCCTATGGAAAGGATGGTCTCCCAGCTGGAGCTGGTGTTGGTGGGTCTGGTGGTACAGGGGGACTTGGATCTCCCTACGGAAAGGATGGTCTCCCAGCTGGGGCTAGTTTTGGTGGTGTTAATGCAGGGGGATTTGGAGTTCCCTATGGGAAGGATGGTCTCCCAGCTGGAGCTGGTGGAGCGGGTGCAGGAGAGGCTTTATATGGTCCAGATGGTCGGCCACTTGGAGCAGGTGTTGCTGGTGCTGGTTTTGCAAGTGCCAGGGGAACTGGAGCTCCCTATGGGAAGGATGGTCTCCCAGCTGGAGCAGGTGCTGGCATTAGTGGGGCAGGGGGTGTTGGGTCTCCTTATGGAAAGGATGGTCTCCCAGTTGGAGCAGGTGCTGGCATTAGTGCTGCAGGGAGTGTTGGGTCTCCCTATGGGAAGGATGGTCTCCCAGTTGGAGCAGGTGCTGGCATTAGTGCTGCAGGGAGTATTGGGTCTCCCTATGGAAAGGATGGTCTCCCAGCTGGAGCAGGTGCTGGCATTAGTGGGGCAGGGGGTGTTGGGTCTCCTTATGGAAAGGATGGTCTCCCAGTTGGAGCAGGTGCTGGCATTAGTGGTGTAGGCAGTGTTGGGTCTCCCTATGGAAAGGATGGTCTCCCAGCTGGAGCAGGTGCTGGCATTAGTGGGGCAGGGGGTGTTGGATCTCCTTATGGAAAGGATGGTCTCCCAGTTGGAGCAGGTGCTGGCAGTAGTGGTGTAGGCGGTGTTGGGTCTCCCTATGGAAAGGATGGTCTCCCAGCTGGAGCAGGTGCTGGCATTAGTGGGGCAGGGGGTGTTGGATCTCCTTATGGAAAGGATGGTCTCCCAGTTGGAGCAGGTGCTGGCATTAGTGGTGTAGGCAGTGTTGGGTCTCCCTATGGAAAGGATGGTCTCCCAGCTGGAGCAGGTGCTGGCATTAGTGGTGCAGGGGGTGTTGGGTCTCCCTATGGAAAGGATGGTCTCCCAGTTGGAGCAGATGCTGGCATTAGTGGTGCAGGGGGTGTTGGGTCTCCCTATGGAAAGGATGGTCTCCCAGTTGGAGCAGGTGCTGGCAGTGTTGGGTCTCCCTATGGAAAGGATGGTCTGCCAGTTGGAACTGGTTTTGGTGGGGTTAATGCAGGGGGACCTGGAGCTTACTATGGGAAGGATGGTCTCCCATCTGGAGCAGGTGCTGGTGTTAGTGGTGCAGGGGGAGTTGGAGGTTCCTATGGAAAGGATGGTCTCCCAGTTGGAGCAGGTGCTGGTGGGCCTGGTGCAGGGGGATTTGGGTCTCCCTATGGAAAGGATGGTCTCATAGCTGGGGCTGGTGAAGGTGGTGTAGGACTTGGAGAAGCTTTGTATAGTCCAGATGGTCGGCCACTTGGAGCAGGTGTTGGTGGTGCAGGTTCTGCAAGTGCCAGGGGAATTGGAGCTCCCTATGGAAAGGATGGTCTGCCAGTTGGAGCAGGTGCTGGTGGGGCTGGTGGTGCAGGGGGTGTTGGGGGTCCTTACGGAAAGGATGGTCTGCCAGTTGGAACAGGTGATGGCTTTAGTGGCTCAGGGGGTGTTGGGGGGCCCTATGGAAAGGATGGTCTGCCACTTGGAGCAGGTGTTAGTAGTGCAGGAGGTTTTGGGGATCCTTATGGAAAGGACGGTCTGCCACTTGGAGCAGGTGCTGGTGGGGCTGGTGGTGCAGGGGGTATTGGGGGTCCCTATGGAAAGGACGGTCTGCCAATTGGGAGTGGTGGTGGTGGTGGTTCAGGGGGAGCTGAGAGTCCCTATGGAAAGGATGGTCTCCTAGCTGGAGCTGGTGTTAGTGGTGCAGGGGGTATTGGGGGTCCCTATGGAAAGGATGGTCTGCCAGTTGGAACTGGTTTTGGTGGTATTAATACAGGGGGACCTGGAGCTCCCTATGGGAAGGATGGTCTCCCAGCTGGAGCAGGTGCTGGTGTTAGTGGTGCAGGGGGAGTTGGGGGTCCCTATGGAAAGGATGGTCTCCTAGCTGGGGCTGTGGCAGGAGCTGCTCATTTTCCTCTTGGAGGTGAGAAAGCAATGGGATCTGGCTGTGGCACAGATGCCACACTGAGCAGAACTCCGGGATATGCAGGCAGAGCAGGAGGAGAGGGTTTTTCCAGGGAAGGCTCTGCACTGTGGGGTGCAGGGTCTCCCTGTGGTGAGAACAGAGGGTCAGCTGTAGCCACAGCTGGTGCAGGTGGAGTTGGGAGGTTGGGAGGGGACGAATGGGATTCAGTCCGTGGTAAAGGAGGTGTGGAAACTGCTGGTGGACCAGGTGGTGAATATGGGCTGGATGCACATCTTGGCAGATCTTTGAGAGGTGAAACTGGAAAGGGCACTGCCAGTGATGTCAGAGGGCCAGGGAACAAAGGTTCAGCTGGTGACAGAGGGTCCCTGTCAGGTCCAGGAGGAGCCAGGGGAGAGGGCAGAGATTTCAGACAGTTGGACTCCCTTTATGACACAAATTATGCCTTTGGAGAGGCAGGGAGTAAATCCCATGACAGATCTGTTGACGGAAGTAGTTCAGGTGGGTTTGGTCAAGGTCCACTGAGTTATGGCCAGATGTCAGGTCCTTTTGGTGGACCTCCTTCAGCAAACCAGAGAAACCAGGAACCTGACCTGGATCTTAAAGCAAATGATTCCCTGAACAACACGGAAAACACAGCACAAAAGAGACGGAGTGTCCTGGATGATATCAAAGGTACGTGGTTAACTGCTGACTCCTGGTCTTTGCATTTTGATACTGACATTCCTAATCCTGCAAAGAAATTGATGTTATGGTTTAGATAAACACAATTCTGTAGAAATTTGGTTGTCCCGTGATCTGTTCCTAATTCTCCCACTGGTTGGCTGTTTGATCTTACACAGTGTGCTCTGATCAAACCGCCTTAAAGGTCTAAATTATTTTCTTGGTCTAAATTATCTAAACCAGGTCTCATCTCTTCATTTGTGTTTCACATATCATGGAACAGACCAGTTCACAAACATACCACTTCCCATAAAGTTTCAAGGAGTATCGTCATGTTTCTTTGATACTGTTCCAATTCAAAACTGATGGTTTCACTTAATTTTTCGAAAACCTACTGTAAAGAACTGTGTTTTCCAAGTTCTGGAAGCAATTCTGTGCCTGCTTATATGGGATTATATAATGTATAGAGTTATTTTCTCTTGTAACATCAGGAATAATAAGGTGTTGCATAGAGTAAGAGGGGAGTAATGTGTTTGCAGTCATTTGAGTAAGACCTGTGGCTCCACCAACAAGATGATGATGTGAAAATTGCAGGAATTAGAAATTTCAGGTGTATAATCAGAGGGGAATATTGGCCTAATGGGATGGTTCACAAGTTAGGAATTATCATTGCTAAACCATAAATATAAACAAGGAAATAAAATCATCAAAATTTGGGTTCAGGAGGAAGGTGTGAGGTATATATTAGAGACAAGATTATGATGGTAATGGAGAAGAACTTGGGAAGAGAAAGAGGAATACATGGGTGGAGAGCAGTATGCCTGGGGCTGTTTAGGGGATATGTTGGCCAGCCCCATGTGTAGTCAGTGCAGAGGAAGAGGAGGATGAAGCACTATATCCACAACCTGGAGCAGCCTGGTTTTTTCCACTGGCTGTAGAGGGAGGCAAGACAATTGGCACAGACATAAACTAGCAAATCCACAGCTGGATAATGTGATTTGTGGTGAATCCATTGCCCATGAGGTGGATATCGGGATAGTTGATAGCTGATGTTGGCCCTCAAGGCACTGAGTGTACCTAGCTGGCCCACACTGAGGTGGCACAAAAGCCTTTCCTGACCAGAGGATGTTTTTTTTAAAAGCTCTTTTTACCTCATGTGCCCATGCATTTTCAGCTCTAGGTGTCTCTCTGTAGCACAGACTTAGCTTCTTTCCCTTCCTTTGTGCCTGTTCAGTCCCGCGCTGTTACCTCAACAAGCAGCTGGCAACCGTGCGAGTGCTGAAGGGGGACCCAGCTGAGCTGTCCTGCACTGTCAGCAAGGACAACGTGACAGGAACCTGGTTTAAGGATGGCCTCAAGGTGGGTGCCTTGAGCTTGCTGTTGCCTTTGGGTAGCAAAGCTCTGCTTTCTGGCTCTACTTCCTAAGGGTGGTGTCAAGGTGTCCTTTCCGCTGACAGTCACCTGCAGCTTGAGTGGGGCCCTGGAAGGGTCCCCAGAATCCCAGAGTGGTTTGGGTTGGAAGGGACCTTACGGATCATCCAGTCCCACCCCCTGCCCTGGGCAGAGGTACCTTCCACTAGACCCAAGCCTCGTCCAGCCTGGCCTCGGACACTTCAGGGATGGGGCAGCCACAGCTTCTCTAGGCAACAGAATACCAGAATATTGTTGTTAAATATGGATGACATTCATAAGTCTTTTCAACTGCATTTCAAATTGTAGTCTGTCCAGTTTTAGTTTGGATTGCACTTTTTCCTTTTTTTTTTAAAAAAGGATAGGTCTCTGTCCTTTATTTTGCAGTTAACAAGTATGGATGGAGTTGTCTTTGAAAAGAAAGGTCTTGTCCACAAACTGATCATCAACAAGGCTGAAGATATTCATGCTGGGAAATACAGATTTGAAGGTGGAGATGTAAAAACTGAAGCTTCAATTTTTGTTGAAGGTGAGTCTAGTCAAACCATCAAGGCAGCATGAGATGGGCTTTAAATGTAATATATTTACTCAGAGACATATTATTGGTTATTGAGATAAATTTATTGTAAAGAATTACAAGATAAATGGGAAATGTTTTTTGTACTGGTTGGTTCATTTTGCATTTGCAAATTTAACTAGGGATGATTCTGCCAGCAACTCAAATATTTTTGGGGTACACAAAACACTTTACCAGGGCAGACTCTTCATTCTTGTGTTTAGTGTGTTGCCTAGGAGAAATTTTCTGTAGTGAAAGGACAGTGTGATACCACAAAATTTTGTGATAATTATCCTGTAGCAAAGTACAACTAAAGGTTCAGATCCAAGTGTTGTGAGCTTCTAAGCATTACAGGCAGCACCATGAGGGGATCCCTTCCCTCCAAGGTGAGCCTTATCTTCCTTGAATTGTGGTTTTTAATGACCTTGTATCACCTGCTTAGATCCTCCCCAGGTGGACAAAGTTCTCCTCAAGAACTTGACCAGTGTCCCCACAGTGGCCAAGGCCGGGGAGGGGGTGAAGCTGCGGATCCCGTTCGAGGGCCGGGGGCCCATCAGGGCAGCGTGGCTGAAGGACAGGATGGAGCTGGGGGATGACACCAGGATCCGTGTGGACAAGACAGACACCTGCACCACACTGTCCATCTCCAGCTGTGACAGGAGGGACTGTGGGGATTACAAAGTCAGGCTCAAGAACGACAGTGGTGTCCTGGAGATCGACCTAAAGCTCGTGGTGATAGGTAAGATCCTACAACATTCACTGTGGCTTTCACTGCAAAGCTTAGGCAGGGAATCCATTGACACTGATGACAACCTTATTGGAGTGACTGGGTATTTTGAGAGGAACAAGACTCTGTATATTGCTCCAAAAGCAGGGTACAAGGAAAGATTGCTGAACATGCTTCATGCCCTTTAGTACAAGGGAACACAAACCCAGTTTGGTTTTTTATGGCCTAAGCAGCTGAGTTTTGAATGTTCAGACACTGGGGGAGATGTGACTATACACAACATGCAAATCTGAAATAGGACATCAAGGTCCAATTCAGCCCTCCCATAAATGTCTGGGCTCCTTTGGGAGACCAGAAATGACATTTTGCCTGTATTAGCAAGCTGAACAATGCTTATGAGAACTATTGACCTAGGGAGAGCAAGGGCCTGGCTTTCCTTCTTCTCCATCAAAAGTTAGAAGAGTGTGAGTTTTGAAGAGGCAATTCACATGCCCAGCCCTCATCCTACAACTGTGCCTGCATTTCACCAGGAGCAGTCTCCTAGCTGGTGAGCAAGGGACAGTGTCTGCTCCAAACGCAGGAGCAGGTCTGGGTCTGGAGCCAGCTGTGTCTCTGTTCATCTTTCCAGACAAGCCACAGCCTCCAGCAGGACCCATCAAAATTGTAGAAAGCTCTGCCAACAACATCACAATCCAGTGGAAGCCCCCAAAGGACGACGGGGGCAAACCAGTGCAAAGGTACCTCGTGGAGAGGCAGCAGGTGGGCAGGAACGACTGGGAGACTTTGGGAGAAACCCCCAGGAGCTGCACCAGCTTCACCACGAGCAAAGTGGAGGAAGAGATGAGCTACTACTTCAGGGTGAGGGCCGTGAATGCCGAGGGAGCGAGCGATGCGCTGGAGTCAGGGGAAGTGAAGGCTGCTGGTAAAGGTGAGGAGAACTTCTCATAATTTGTAATTCAATTTGGGAAATTCATTATCAAAGCTGACATCAGAGGAAACTCACTGCATTGTGGATGTTGCTACAGATCTCAACTTCAGTCTTCACACAAAGCTGTGGAGGTTGCCCAGCAAGAGCAGCAGTTCATTGTAGGCTCTGCTGATGCTGAGTGAGATGTAATTATTCCTTGGTCATGCTGTATTTCGGATTGGAAAGGAAGTTTCATGGGGGAAATGAAAAACGCATCAAGATCAAAGGAAATTTTTCTCAGTGTGGCTGCAAAGGGAATATGTGAGACCTTTTCTTAACTCCACAGGCAAAAGAACTTAGATGTACAGCCCTTCTCAGCAGGGCCACTCCATTCCCCTGATCTCCAAACAAACGAATATTGGTTTTGTCCTTCAAGGAGTTTAAATACTAGAACAGGTTTGTCATGAGCACAAATGCAGTACTAGAGAGAGCAATGTTCAGTTCTAATTATCTTCTTTCTCCATTCTCATTCCCATGATTCTGTATCTTGAACACTTTAGCAGAGGGCAAAGAAAATCCATTTTGTTACCAGTTCCTGTTGTTGAAAGCAAGAATGCTGCTGATTGTTCATATGTAGGAACGACACACCCCACTGGCAGAGGAATTGTCAGTCCTGATGACAGCAGGTCTTTTGTGAAATCCACACTCAGGAACAGAGTCCATGCTGGATCCAGTTTGTGTGGGGAACAGAATCCACAGCTTCAGGTCTCAGCCAGGTTTTCAAAGCACATCCATAGGAGTACCTGGGGGAATCTGGAAGAAGAAATTACACACAGCACTATTTTATCTTTCCATAAAAACATATCTGCTAATAATGAAGCCCTCATCTCTTTGTAGCTTCCCCTGGTGCCCCAGGTCCCCCCGAGATCATCAGTGCCAGCAGGGACTCCATCACCATATCCTGGAAAGCTCCTTGTAAAACCGGCACTTCCCAAATTATGGGATACATTGTTCAGAAACGCAAGAAGGGCACTGTGACCTGGCTGCCAGTCAACAACGTGCCTGTCAAAGGTGGGTATTCTGACTCCTGGAACAGCCTGGTGGATTTGAAAAGGCAAAAATGTCAGCTGGGTTTAGGAGCTGCTTAGGATCTTACACCCTTCACATCAAGGTGGTGATGGGTGACTTTGGAGGTCTTTACCAACTAAATTATTCTGGGATTCTGTGATTGAAGGGCTGTTTGATTTTGAAAGGAATACAATTAACACATCCCAGAAGATCACATGCACTTGGCTAGGGAATGGCAGGAGAATCAGTGACAGCTTTTATGGCTCCTGAGAGTTTTTCAGTCCATAATTCTGCCTGAAGTAAGGCACGGCTTTGTTGTGTCACCTTTCCTGATGGGGAACAGCCCCCCTGAGGCAACACACCTCCCCTCTTCTCCCTCCTCCCCTCTCTCCTCTCCCCTCTCCTCTCTCCTCTCCGCAGACAAGAAACTGAAGGTGAGCAGCCTCAAGAAGGGTGTGCAGTATGAGTTCCGCGTGGCAGCTGTCAATGCTGCTGGCACAGGACAGCCCAGTGACCCCTCAGAGCCTGCCTTTGCCCGGGACCCCACCAGTAAGTGCCCTGCCCTGTGCTCTGCTTTCAGGGTATTCGTGGAGACATGTTCTTAAATCCTCTGTAAAAGTGTGTGGAGATAAAGATCAGTAATTGGGGAATGTTTCATGGCTGAGAATCATCTGGAGGAAGGAATGGAAGGATTTCCTGTAGGATGTGCAAGTCAAGATTTGGCAGATCCCAGTGCGGGGTGATGTGCAGTGTGGAGGAACACTCAGGAGGGGCCACAGAGTGTTTTGGAGTGTTGGGGATTTACTGCAGGGCTGGTAGGAGCAAGGACCCAGATCCAGCTCTGAAGAACTGGGACGAGGTGGGGCAAGACATCACGGTGGAAATCCAGTGCACTGCAAGAATGTTGGGGAATCTCAGGCAGTGACTGAAGAGGGAAGAGAAATCCTAAAAAAAATAGTTTAAATAAAATTTCTCCATCCAGAATCTCCAAGCCAAGTGCAGGGCCTTAAAGTGAGCAGCAGTGACAGCACCAGTGTCACCTTGACATGGAACAAACCTGAAGTAGAAGATGGGAATGATGTGAAAGGCTACGAGGTGGAGATGAGGCCCTGTAACAGCCTCAGCTGGACCAAGTGCTTCACCCTCCCTGCGGAGAGCACCTCGTGCAGGGTCCAGGGCCTGCGGGCCGGGGAGAAGCTGTTCCTGCGCGTCAGGGCCCTCGGCGACGGCGGCCCCGGGGAGGCCTCGGAGCTCGAGGCGTGTGCTGGAGCTGCTGCTGCTGTGGGTGAGTCGGGCCCGGGGCTCTGTCCCCGGGAACGGGGCACTCTGCCCGGGGCTCTGTCCCCGGAACGGGGCTCTGTCCCCGGGGCTCTGTCCCCGGAACGGGGCACTCTCCCCGGAACGGGGCTCTGTCCCCGGGGCTCTGTCCCCGGGGCTCTGTCCCCGGAACGGGGCTCTGTCCCCGGGAACGGGGCTCTGTCCCCGGAACGGGGCTCTGTCCCCGGGAACGGGGCTCTGTCCCCGGGGCTCTGTCCCCAGAACGGGGCCCTCTCCGGCAGAGGAGCGGCCGGGCTGTGGCGCTCCGGGAGCTGCTGTCGCCAGGCTCAGCCGAGCACAGGGCAGCGCTGCTCCTGCTCACCTCGGGGTTATCTGCTCACCTCAGCAGGGCACTCTCAATATTAACTGGTGTTGCATATGCAGTGCACAGTGCTCAGCTCATTTTAGAGACTCCTCTGGACAAAACAACCCTCAGAACTCCATTTTCTCCTTGGATTTACATTCTGCCCCCTGTGCAGGGCCACACCACAGTCACCAAACAGAACCCTGCTTGCGCTCTTCCAAGGGAAAAATAGTTTCCACTCAATTTAGGCAGTTCTGAAATGAAACATTTTATTTTATTCTCTTAAATCACATGTTTAATGCTGGTTTTGGATACTTTATTTTACTTTTTAACGGTTTAGTGTTTTTACCATTTTCACATTTCCATCTTTATTTACAATCTGCAGCTCTGTTTTTTCCCTGCTCTTTGGGAACAGAGCAGAATTACAGATGTAAGAGATAATTCTGTGATGAGTTCATCTTCCTTAACTTGGATCCTAAGTGAAAATTTCTACTTTGGCATATGCCCAGAGACCGCATTTATCAATAAAAAAACATAAAATAAATCTCTAAAGCAGGTGTTCAGTTCTATACTGGAAGCACTAAATATAATTTAGCATTACTGTATTTAGTATTCTTAGATAAATACTAACTGCTGTAGTATATTCATGAAAAGAGAAAAGAATATCTTTTAAATACTAAAAAATACTATTTTAGATAAACTCTGGCAGCTTTCCTGTGGATGTTCTGTGCTCTGTACTGCATATGTAAGTGTTCATTGGAATTTCCTTTTTCCAGAACCCATTTAAACACAAAATATGATCCCTGTGATGGGATAAAGTGTGGCAAAGAGCAAATTTCTCTGTGACTGAGACATCACATGAATAGAGAGATTGTTGTGAATGTATTTTTACATCATTTTCCCTTGTTTAGTCATGGTGATAAATAAATAGTAATGAAATTTGAGAGGTGTAAAGTCCGGGACTGAACCAGGGAGATTTTTTCCCACTGTGAGTCCCTCACCAGCCTCATTCAGCTGGGAGAGGCACCAGGGGGTGGAACACTGTAATTGTCACCAGTGACTGCACCAACATCTGCCTTTTGCGAGTAATCTTTGTCTCTTCCAGTCTCTCCCAGGTTACTGATAGATGACACGGTGAAAAGCTTCCTGGTTATAAAAGCAGGGAATCCCATCCGGGTGAAGATTCCCTTTGAGGTGGGTATTCAGGGCTTTGGAGGAATTCCCTGCCTGGTTTTATAGCAGACAGGAAAACGTGAGCCACTGTTTTTATGTCATGCAATTGTGTTTGCAAGTCACTGGGCAAATAATTTGGCCTGCCTGTGCTGTGTAGACTTTCAGGGTGAAGAAAACACTAAGCCAGAACTGAGTCGTCAGTCTTGGCATTGGTGTTTTATGACATTGTGGTCATTCCTTAACCTCTGCAGACAAGGCTCAGTGCTGTCCACGTAGCCTTATCAATGTTATCCTCATCTGGTACTGCTCTGTCAGACTTCCCAAATCAGGGATTTCCCTGTGAGTCCCTCAGAAGGCCTTGGGGTACCACATTCCCAGCAACACCTTCACTGGGCTTGCTCACCAAACAGCAGCACTTGAGCTCTGTGACTTGAGAACTTGGCAGAAATCTCAGTGCTTTGGAGTAAGCTTGGAACAACACAGGCTTTTCCTCATGGGAAATGTGGTCAGGCTTTGGAAGGGGCTGCCTAGGGAGGTTTGGAGTCCCCATCCTTGGAGATGTCCAAGGAGTACCTTTCGTGTAAAAAGTGTAAAAGTGCTTTTAAGATGGGGATGGGGCATGGGTTGGACTCGATGCTCTTGTAGATCTTTTCCAGACATAAATGATTCCATAATCCTGTGAAGTCTGGGATACAGAGGAGGGTGATGAAGGGTGTGTATTTGCTGGCCTTTCTCCTAAGATGGCACAATGGAAATAAAGACTTAGAGGATGGTTTTTTCTTTCCAAAACCAACAGATCTTTTTTTTTAAAAGCAGAAAATACTGTCTCCTGAAGTTATCTGTCCTTGATCTGGCATAGCTTGTTTGACACAGTTCTGAACACTTTACTGCAATTACATCCTTAAAGGACAAAAAGGAAAAAAAAATTGTAAATAAACAATAGAACAGATCAGGGCTCTCAGATCCATCGTGGATCTGTATTTCTAAACATTACTACATTGTGGAGGTGCATATTTGGGGTAAGATAATGAAACTAAGATACAAGACACAGTCTGGAGGTGAAACAAGTGGCTGTGAGTTGTTGCTGTTTGCAGGGGTCTCCCGAGCCGGTGGTGACCTGGTTAAAGGATGGGCTCCCCCTTCCCAGCCGGGCTGCCGTGAGCACCGAGGATGGAAGCAGCCAGCTGCTGCTCAGGGCAGCCGAGCTCAGTGACAGCGGCACCTACACTGTGGAGCTTGGGGATGGGCTGGGCAAAAGGGAGACCTTCAGCTTCCAGGTTCAAATTACAGGTAACTCACTGCCATCCGTACAAATCTACCAGCAACTCCCAGCCAACCAGGCTGGGGCATGAAGGGACTGAGAGCAGCCCTGAGAGAAGGACTTGGGGGTGCTGGTGGGTGAGAGCTGGACATGCCCTGGGCTGATCCCCCAGCATGGGCAGCAGGGGAGGAGAGGATTCTGCCCCTCTGCCCCCTCAGGTGGCACCCCACCTGCAGAGCTGCCTCCAGCCCCCCAGCAACAGAAAGATGTTGAGCTGCTGGAGCCATTCCAGGGAAGGCCACGGAGATACTCAGAGGGCTGGAGCCCCTTTACTCTGGAGCCAGGCTGGGAGAACTGGGGGTGTTCATCTGGAGAAGAGAAGGCTCTGAAGATAACTGAGAGCCCCTTCCAGTGCCTAAAGGAGCTCCAAGGGAACTGGAGAGAGACCTGGGACAAGAGCCTGGAGGGACAGGACAAGGAGGAATGGCTTTTCACTGCCAGAGGGCAGGGTTGGATGGGATATTGGGAAGGAACTCCTCCCTGTGAGGGTGGTACAGGCTGCCTGGAGAAGCTGTGGCTGCCCCTGGATCCCTGGAAGTGTTCAAGGCCAGGCAGAACAGGGCTTGGAGCAGTCCAGGATAGTGGAAGGTGTCCCTGCCTATGGCAGAAGGTGGGACTGGATGGGCTTTTAGGTCCCTTGCCACCCAAACCAGTCTGGGCTTCCATGATTTACTGTGAGTAGGCAGAAGGCCACAAACTGAGATTGGCAGGGTGAGCTCTGATGCAGTTTGTGCAGGCACAGGGAGAACCAGGGTACAGTTTTCTGTGAGATTGTCTGGGCACTTTATGATCTCACTTGTTTGCAGGACAGAGCAATCCACCTACTAAAACTATCCTTCCACAGTGAATGAGGGAGGTCAGCACAGGCTGTAGGACATTGAGCACAGCTCTCCCAGCTGTGACCCCAGGAGGAGAAGCAGCTCAGCTGTTCCACCCTCCTCTCGCTGCTCAGCCAGTGCAGATATTGTGCAGCAGCAGCTCAGTTCATAGCAAATGCATTTGTGTGCCTGGAGAAGGAATGGCATTTTGTCCCTTCCAGTGATCAGGATGGTCACTGAGCCCCAGACATGCAACAGACTGCAGGATTTTAGGGTTCTGTGCCACTGTCCCTACAGCTGTGTCATTGTGTGCCCTCCCCTTGTAGATATCCCTCAGCCCCCTGGAGCCATCCGGCTGGAGGAGAATGTGCCCAACACAGTGACAGTGACCTGGGACCCCTCAGCATCTGAGCAGTGGGAGAAGAACCTGTATTACACTGTCCTGAAACGGGAATCCCAGAAGGGCCTGTGGCATGTGCTGGGGGACCTGATCTACAACAACAAGTTCACCTTCACCAGGGTGGTCCCAGGCAGGGATTATTACTTCAGGGTTGTGGCAAAAAATGACCTGGGAGTCAGTGATCCATCAGATACTGTGCAGCCCTGGAGGATCTGGAAGAAAAAGGGTAAAACATTTTTAAGTATTTCTCTGTGTGTGTTTTGTTTCTTTCATTGCTTCTAACACCCCACCCTCAAATGGATCTCTCCTGCTGGGAATATTCAGTGGCCCAGAACAGGAATGCACAGAGATGCCCTGAGGAATTCCAGGGCAGGGAAGGTTTGTTCTTTCTGCAGAGACTTTGTGCAGACAGACCCTTCATTGCCAGCCATTATGACACGCAATTTTCCCCAAAATGAATTCCCAGCAAAATCTTAAGTCTTTAGTATTGTAGAAACCAAAGTTTCTGTCTTTGAAGTTAAATATTGGGTAATTCTGAGGAGCAGCAGAGGTTACAATCCATAGGTGCATGGGATCTCTGATAATTTGCAGAGTTCTAGACTGCACAAACAAACCCCTGCAAACTCTACAGTGCTGGGAGCAGTACCTGAGTGTGTGTTTGGTGCTTTATTTTTGACAGCTGAATTTCGAGTGAAAGCACAGAAATACAGGGGAGTTAACCAGAACCAGCCCCCGAGGTTCCTGGTGCCCCTTAAGTCTCACGTGGTGGTGACGGGCAGCGAGTGTCACATGAGCTGTGCTGTTGGAGGCCATCCCCCACCAAAAATCACATGGTACAAGGACAGCAGAGACCTCTCCAGAGATCCCAACTACTTCTGCACCAACGACTTCGGGGTGTGCTCCCTGGTGGTGCTGGGGGTCACCAAGCAGGATGAGGGGGAGTACATGGTGGAAGCCAGCAATGAAGTGGGCCGTGCCTTCAGCAAAGCCTTCCTCGCCATCAAAGGTAACTGTGCAGTGCTGCTTCCCTGGTGGATCCAGGGCTGTCACTGCTGCCCAGAGCCTCAAAATGGTCCCCAGCCAGCTCCACCTGCTGACAAAGCAATGGTACATTTGGGTGGTTAAATGAATTCCTAATTGTGGTACTTGTGATCAAGTACCAAACAGAACCAGAAATAAAAAGGCAGATGGGAAAGATCACTTGATTTCTACATGACCCAGAGGTTTTGGCTGAGCTTGAGCAAATTTTTTAGAAGGAACAATCCCATCTTCATTAGGTAGGATAATATCAAGGTTAGATCTTTCTTGAGTGCAGGAGCTGCAGAATAAAGACCCTGGCAAATGTGCCACGTGAGGGGAGCATTGAGAGAGCAGCTGATATTTGGCCAAAGCCAACACAAAGGGAGAAGAGAGAGGGACATGGTCAGAGGCATTGGGATCCTCATGTGGATGGAAGGGCAGTGGGATTGGCTGGGGATAGTGACTGTACCCAGTGAAATATCCTTTACTGAGAGTCAAATATTTTTCTTTAAATGCAAAATACCTTGCTGGGATTACAGGAGTGGCAAAATGGGTCAGTTAAACCCTTGTCACCCTCTTGCAGACTTTTAGGCCCTGTAATATTTCAGCTCCCTCTCTCAGGGAGCTTTTCAGACTATTTCTGATCTTCCTCACTACAACCCTGAGCTGCTTCTCTCTTACTCTCACTTTCAGACTCCTCCCTGTAGCATGGCTCTGCTGAGAACATCCCTGCCTGGCTCTGAGGATGAGAAGGTTCTGGTGAGGACTTGTCCATATGAAGGCTGTGCATTTATTGTCAGATGTTCTTTACAGTCTGAGGGTGTTATTTTTCAGGTCCAGTAATTGTATGTTGAACATGATGCTGCATTGCCATCAATACTGGGGGAAAAAGCTTTAAGAGCACTGTATTTTTTTTTCAATAATCAGGCTTTCTATGAGACCTTTAAAACACAGCTTAGAAGTTTCAGGAACACAGAAGATGAGAGGAAGAATAATTGGCCAAAATGAAACTTTCTGTGGAGAACACAGGTGTGTGGGAGAGATCATCCTGCCACACCACTCACCCACAATAAGGACCTTTCTGGACATCAGGGATCTCTGGTCCTTTCACATCTGCTTTTTCAAACCAGAACAATCATTTTGGATTCCTTGTGATTCTTTTCAGGCTTCCCAAATATGGCAAAAGCAGTTCTGCATATGTTGTACTATCAGTAGCTGCTAAGTAGATTATCTTCCCTAACCCCTAAGTTTAAAAGATCTGCCTGCTCATTTTGTCTGGGCAGGAGATGAAATCTCAGACCAGCCTGGCATGGGATAGGTGAAGCTCCCAGTGCAAATGCACTGGTAGGAAGGACTGGCAGTCTACAACCCCTGTGTGGGCAGAGCAACTCCCAGGACCCACAAAGTGTGCTGTACAAAGGCTGTGCCAGTCCTGAATCACCCCCAGCATCACCTGTGCATCCCAACAGGCACTGCTGGGAGCCTTTGCCTTGAGCAGAAAGAGGTAAAAATCCTTTCTGTCTGACCAGAAATACGAGGGACTCCCGGGACCTCCTGCCACAGCCAGGGGTTCCCATCACTGGGCCTGGACAGCAAAATGTTCTGGGGGCTGTGGGAGGGTGTCACAGCCAGAGCACCAAGGGTACTTTGTGACAGGAGAGAGCAGAGCCAAACACAGCTGTGGGGCTGGAATGTTCTTGGGATTACATTTTGTACAATGTTGTACAGATGTAGCAGCAGGAGAAAACGAAATTAAACCACAATTCAGTGAAATCTACCCCGAGTCTGTGTTTATTCTGGAGAAGGAATCCCAGTCGGTTCCTGCGTCGGTTTGCTGCAGTTTCACACCTGAGGGCCGCACTCGGTCATCCCTCATGGAACTGCTCCCGCAGCTCCTCCTGCGGGGCTGGAGGCAGGGGGACATCACCTGCAGGGCACATTCGCTTCTCCACTGAGAAAACACAAGAGCCAAGACTGATGGAAACTGGAATTGGAGCTGGGGGACCTCGGGAAGCCCCGGCACAGCAGGAGCAGGAGATTCCTGCGAGTCCTGCTGAGATGTCCGCGCCAACTCCAGCAACTCCTCTGCTGCCGCTTTACCCCGCGAGCTCCGGCCCCAGCCCAAGGCGGATCCCCTGCCGGGAACCACCTCCAGGGTGCAAGGGCCGATGTTCGTGCTCCCCTTTGCCGGGCTGGAGGGGCAGGGAGCACCCTGGAGTACGGACGGTGTCACCGCCCATGGCAGGGCCGCACCGGGCCGGGACTCCGGCGTTGGCCGCAGGCCGGGCCCGGCCCGGAGCCGCCCGGGCATAGGCCCCGCGCCCCCGCGCGCAGCAATGGTCTCTCCCGAGGCCCGCCCAGCGCCCCCGGCACTGCCCATAGATGGTCTCTCCCGCCCTGCTAGCAGGTCCCGCCCCCTCGCGTCCATCACGCCACTGCCGTCGGTGATTGGTCGATCCTCGGGGCCCTCCCCGACTCAGCCAATGGCGGCCCTCCCTGCCCTGAGCCATGATGGCGGCGCCCAGGAGCAGACCGGGTGGTCACCTTGGCTCCTCTGTCTCTCAGGCACCCGGGGAGCGGCGGGCCCCGAGCGCTGGGTCCGTGCCTCTGTGCCTCCGGAGCGTCCCGCGGCTCTGGGTCTGTGCCTCCGGACGGCGAGCGCTGCTCTGTTTCTCAGGCACCCGGGGAGCGGCGGGCCCCGAGCGCTGGGTCCGTGCCTCTGTGCCTCCGGAGCGTCCCGCGGCTCTGGGTCTGTGCCTCCGGAGCGTCCCGCGGCTCTGCCCGAGGCTGCTCGGACGGCGAGCGCTGCTCTGTCCTCGGGAAAGGCGCGGGCACCGAGCGGTCTCTGAGGGAGCGGCAGCAGCGCGGGACGAGACGGGCCCGGGAGAGCCGAGCACCGCCGGGGAGGGGTGAGAGGGCGGGAAAATAACAGTAAAGAGAAGGAGAAACAGACAGAGGTGAGGCGGCAGCGAGAGGAGCTCTGTGGCCGCGGGGAGCGGGCGCGGGATCACCGGGTACCGGAGCGTCCCGGGCCGGGAATGCTCAGCACGGCCGGGAATGCCCAGCACGGCCGGGAATGCCCAGCACGGCCGGGGCCGGGCACGGGGCACCGGGGATGCGCGGGTACCGCCCTCGCGATTCCCCCACCGGCCCCGAGTGCCCGCGGGGCTGGTGCCGCTCCTCGGGGCGTTCTCAGGGGCTCCTGCGGCCTCTCCCGGCTCCGGGAGCGGTCCGAGCTCCGCCAGAGCTCCGCGCTGCCGCTGGAGCGGCAGGAGCACCCTCGGGATCTCCTGGAATTCATCGTGGAGCGGGGATTCATTCCGGGGAGAACAGCGAGGGCTGTTCCGCGGGCGCTACACCGAGACGGGGCGGGCGGCGGCATCCCCCGGGCCGGGACACCAGCGCAGCTCTTGGCTTCCGTTCAGCACAGTTGTTCAGCACCTGCTGCACACCCAGTCTGTGGATAAATCTTGGGGATGCTCCCGGTCCTGGACACTGGGTCCAGTCTGGGGGGCAGCGGAGACTCCCCCTTTGCTGGGTTAAAAGGATGAAGTTTTTGGTCGTGCTGAGGGGAGCAGAGGTGGGATTTTACCTACTCGCGGGTGGGTTCATTCCTCACCCAGAGAGGTCCGGCCTTTCCCAGGGTCCCGCTGTCCTCCTCCAACACCGGCAGCTTTGTTTTCCAGCCTGGAGTTTGTAAATCAGTCAGGTGAGGGGAGAAGGCAGGGAAGTCACAGCAGGGCAGCTCCCACATCCCAGGGTGATGGGGTGAGGGCATGGGAGCATCCACGTGGATCCCACAGGGACGGGGGCGTGTGTCCCATCAGAGAGGATCCAGTTCCAGCGCTGCCTCAGGCAGGCAGGGACAGTCTGTGTGTCCCCTGCACACAGTGGGGATCCCCTCTTTGAGCAGCACTTAGACGTGGCTGAGAGCAGCTCCTCTTCAGCAGCACATCCTGGGCAGGGGTGCCCGGCCTCATGGCAGGGGTGGGATAATGGGTTTGGGGTGGCATGGGAACGCCCTGCCCTGGCAGCTGCTGAGGGGCTCCATCTGCCACACCTTGCTGCAGAAGGTGGCACTGTCCTGCCATCCTGCTCTCCCAGAGAAGGGATTGGGAGGTGTAGGCACAGCTCAGAGCACACCCAGCATGGCCTGGGCACTGCGATGGTGGGACAGGGTGGACAGGACCCCTTTCCCACTGGCTGCCAAGTTCTGGTGTCTCTCCCTGAGTGCCAACATCTCCTTAGCTGCTCTTTGTCCACCTGTTTTATTTGCTGTCAAAAAAAACTGGAAAACCTTCCCAATGTGTTGGGTTCAATCCAGCAGCTCCAGCTCTTAATTCAGTTTAGCAGTTATTAATAATAACACATAAATAAATATTTTTTTCGGTAACTTGAATGTTTCTTTCATCCTTTTCCACCTGGTCTAATGGAAAGTATTTCTTCATGGCAGGGGAGTAGAACTGGTTGGTCTTTAAGATCATTTCCAGTCCAAATCATTTTAAGATTCTGTGACTCTGGGGTCTGCTCCTCCTTCCAGGAACTATTTGTAATGGCCAAAGGATGTTCTAGAGGGACCCTGACCTGTGGCTCCCTGTCACCAGGGTCCCAGTGGTGCTGCTGGGGGGTGGCACTGCTGCAGCCTCTGCTGGCACTTGGGAGTCCTTGGGAGCCACTCCCCAAAATTTCCATCCCACGAGAGCAGCAGTGCCTCATTAGTGGAGTTTGTGAGCACCAAGAAGAGAAATGCTCCCGAGCTGGGAGGGAGGGATGAGCTGAGCTTGGGGCTCCCTGCTGTGCAGGGCTGTGCTCTGATGGGCTGAGCTGTCCCTCTGCCAGCACTGGGATTTCCCCCGTGTTCCTGGGCTGGGTTTGGTGTCACTGCTGAGGGCAGTGGCTGTGCCAGCCTGGCGTGGACAAGCTGGGGAACAGGTTCCAGCAGCGTTACAGCAAAATCCCCTCTCAGCCCCTGAGTAGGGAGGGTAGATCCTGCTGGGGCAGGAAGTAGCTCCTCACACAGGAGCCTCCTGGGCAGGAGGTTGCTTGGGGTATTTGGCTGATTTGCACCAATCCTCCTCCACCATCCTCTCCCCCCACACCCCTGAATTCTTTTGTTTGGACTCCATCTCACCTTTGGTGACTTGGAGAGCAAGAACAAGTCTGCCCATGAATCAGCAGGCGGCTTTTCCAGGCTGTTTTCTGAGTGCTAAAATCTCACTCAGGAATGCACTGGATCTTTCCTTGTCGATTTTCCCTTCATAGGCCCTGCTTAGAAAATGTTTTTCTCCATCCAGCACAGTGACCAAGGCTGTGCTTCCTCACCTGCTGCAGGTTCCTGGTCTCTGTGTGCTGGGAATGTCCATGTCCCTCTGGTTGCCCTGTCCAGTTGTGTGTCCCAGTGCCTTCCCTTCAGGACAGAGCTGCTCAGGGCTGTGGGACTCAGCTCTTGGTGGAGCCCCTCAGGAAGGAGCTGCTGCTGCCTTCAGGAGGAGTTTGGATGCTGCTCTGGTCCTGCTGGGAGCAGGAGTGGAGGCAGGAGTTGTGCTCATGTCTTCGGGGAGCCTTTTTGTCCCAGAGAGCTTCGGTGCATCCCGAAGTGTGGAGTCCTCCCCTGGCAGGGCCTGGCTATGTTGGTGTCAGTCCCCAAGCAGCCCCTGAGGGTGAATTTGGGTCCTTTTCCCTTTGGGAAGGGTAACTCCTCTGTGGCTCAGCGGCCCAAACTCCTGGCAGAGCGAGATGGGTCTGGATTGCCGTTGGGCAGCGTTTGGAGCAAAGGCAGCCGTGTTTTGCTCCCATCTCCTGGATGCAGGTGCTGCAGGAGGGGATCCGGGTGCCTCTGGATCTCGCAGGGCTCAGCAGGGAGCGCAGCCTTTGGAGCAGCTCCTCCCTGACTGCACAGCCCGTCCTGTCCCTCCTTCTCCAGGGAGTGGTGCTGGAGGACTGTGGAGCTCCCTGGGTCTTCCTGAGAGGGTTTTTCCGTGCGGGAGGCTCTGCAATTCAGCTCCTTCAGAGCCTGGAGACACTTGAGCCCCCGTGAGCCTTGTTTAAGAGCTGCCATTGGCATCTGCTGTTACCAGATTCCACATCCCCGTGTGGGGATCCTCACAGAACATCCTCACAGAACACAGCCTGGGGGCCACAGTGTGGGATTAAACCAAGCCCTGCCGTGCCTGGTGGGGCTCCTGGTGCCCAAGGATGCAGCAGGGCAGCACCAGCTCAGTGAAAGTTGATGGATGCTGTGTGTGCTGCTCTGACAGCAGCCTTGGGAGGCATCTTGATCCATGGAGAAGATCCTGTTACACCACAAGGAGCTGTTTGATAAGGAAACCATATCCACATCTGGGCAACCTGGGGCTCTTCTTTCCTGGCTGAGGAGATTTGGGCAGGAAAAGCTGTAAACTTGAGGGTGCCCTGGCAGCTGCAAACCTGCTGAGGGATCCTTCCTGTGGCATTGGTGAAGACATTAAATACCACTGATCCCAGCAGGGCCCCTGAGCAGTCCTGGGGCAGCTGCTTAGGCCACATGAGAGGGATGAATTCAGCACTGATTGTACAGCACTGTCTATTCCTTAGGGGGTGATCCCAGCCCCAGTGCCCTGTAACACCCACACTGGAAATGTCTAGCCAGGGAGGAGGCTGATTTGGGATGTGGCCATCCTGGGGAGGAAGAATGGGAGCCCAGTGGGGTCTTGGGTTGCTCCATGGCTTGTTGGGGGCAGGGTTTGGAGCACCCCCTCTGCAGGGTCAGGCCTGCTCAGTTTGTTCATGGGGAGTGAC